CCAACATGCCAATGACAGCAGGTTCTTCAGTTTCTGGATCAGTAGATGGAGTTTAGCGAAGGAGTTCTGGTCTAAGAACATCCACAGGCCCTCACATTGGCCAAAGCCTGGAGCCAGAGAATGACAGTAACTCCAAACCTTTTCAATTCCCTCACATTGCTTAATTATACAGTTGCATGCAAAAATGTTTGCATCCATGGACAAATGACATTTTGTTGATTTTTTAAAGTGATTCTTGCAAATGTCGATGCACAGTTACTTTATATTTGAACATGCATATTTGAATACATACACAGGAGACTATTACAAAGCTGCAGCTTACATTTCTTTAAGTAGTTCATGAGGGTTTTTGAGGTATGTTTTGGATCATTGTCCGGTTGTAGTAGTGAGCCTCTTTTCAGCTTCAGTTTCTTGACTTTGTCACATTTCCACAACTTGCTGATATCTATTGGAATCCATCTACCTGTGTAACGTTTTCTGTGCCACTGGCTGCCACACAACCCCAAAGCATAAAAGCTCCCCCATGCTTAACTGCTGGAAAAGTGTTCTTTTCATTAAATACTGCTACTTTTTTACTTTTTTTATTTAGTTAATTATGGTCTCTGAAACTTTACAAGAGGAAGGATTTCCAAACTTTTGCAAATGCCTCAAGTACTATTTTTTATATTTTTCAAGTTAATCAAATATGTATTCACTGTGGATTAACATTTGCAGAAAAATGTTATTTTTCAAATGACACTGCTGCAGAGGTTGTGTTTACTTCTTTTCACAAAAATCAAACAATATCTAATTTGGCCAGGGGTACCCAAACCTTTACATACTACTGTACCTATATAAAAAATTATTTGTAAATGGTTTTGTGGATTTGAACTCACAGAGAGTTAGCAACTCTTTCTGGGTCAGTTCCACTGAGCGCTGAAGCCAGCAGCTGAAACTGGCCAGGCTCTTCTCCACATTGCATTCATCTGTTGAAAACAACTCAATACAGTCAATACAGTCCTACAGTATCTAAATAAACACCACACAAAGTTACAGTCATACACTGCTTGATCTGTAGTGGCCTGAGCAGCTACATGCAGTAAGAGTCCTGATAAGACTACTCCTTGCCTTGAGCGACGAGGTGTCGGAGCCAGCAAAGGATGCCCCTCACGTTGTTGTCTGTTAAAGCTTTGTTCCACAAAACCTCTGTGTTCAACATCATCTTACTGCTGCAGTAAATCTCCCACTTCATATGTCTCGATTCAGAAAAAGAAATGAAATTAAATGAATGAATCTGCACGCCTACTTTCTTTATGACTAATCTGAAGACCAGAACACAAATCTAAAGATTTCTATTAGTTCATGATCAGATTCTTGTGCATGAGTCATTAAAAACATGCAGTGCAGTGAAGTGCAGTGAAGAACTTAATTTCCTTATTTGGAAGGGTTATAGCATTCTGTTGGCTAATATTAAGATCTTGATGTTAAGTGTAAAAAAAAGTAGGATTTATTCATAACTTTGCTGTAAGTAACTTGTTAGAACAAGACTGATTTAAAGGAACATTACCCTTCTGTACAATGAAGTTCTGAGTCAAGCTTAATCTCAACTCATCTCATCTCAGAGGTTTATCAGCCGTGTTATGACAGTGACACCTGTATGATAGAGATGTAGAGGTGTTCAGCACTCACCAGTAAGAGTATCTTTCATCCAGTGTCCCATGGGCAGAGATGAGAAGCGTCTCCAGATCTGCTGACTGGGTCCCATGTGCTTTCCCCTGCTTCAATCCTCTCTAGGCTAGAATAATCCACTAATCTAGACCTGCTCTGGATCCCATTGGCTGTGTGAAAAGTGAGTGAGGGAGGGCAGATTATGTGTGGTTTTAGTTTAAATATACATTTTTGGCAAATGAGTTTCATTCATTTACTTTGACGACCAGGCATCATAAAAGCAATGCAAAGTTTGAATGTCTGAAGCAGAAAATAACAGCATTTCAGCTCCTACTCCAAGAAGGATGCCTATCGATCTCAATTTATCTATGACCCAATTTCATTAACAGCACGGCTTTATTATAAGTGATAAATTCTCTGACTCTTCAAACCTTAATACTCAACAACCATGGGCTCCTCGAAGCAGCAGGCTGATGATCTAAAAATGAAGCAACAAAACAGGGAATGGCTATAGAAAGATATCAAAATGCTTCCAGCTCGCAATCTCCACTGTCCGAAATGTCAGTAAGAAATGGTAGTTAAGGGGAACTGTGGAAGTCAAGGCAAGATCTGAAAGATAAAGAAAATTCTCAGACAGAACTGCTCTTATCTTGGCCAGAACGTCAAACCAAAACCTCCACATCATGCACAAAGGACCTGCAGGAAGGTTTAGCTGACACAGGAGTGGACCATTCTACTGTGCAGCGTTGTCTGCACAAATACGCTGCTCATAATAATTATCAGAAGAAAACCTTACCTGTGATTTAAACACAAAGGTTAATGTCAGAAATATACAAAACAACATCTTGATAAGCCAGAGGCATTTTGTGCCAGTGTAGTAAAAAATTGAAGTCTGGCCACTATCATCAAAGGTAATTTTGAAAAAAGGAGCCGCATTTGATGAAAAGAACGCCTGGACAGAGGACCAAATCCAGGACAACCCATGGAAAATCCTACACGGGTGGCACCTCTAGTAAACACTGAGCTTTTACAATGAAATTATGCCTTTGTTTACATTGGATCCTTCAGTTGGTGTTCCCCACAACTCAGTTCATCTCTGTGCACACTTGCCGTACACATACCATACAGATACTCAGTTACACAATGCTGGAAATTCTGTTTATAAATAGTATCAGATTAGCATACTGACTTCCAGCCATTGACTTTGGTAAAACGGGTGAAACAGGTGGAAGTATTTGCATCTTTTTGACATACAAATACAATCAGTTATGCAGATCATTTCATTCAGGTTATAACTGTTTCTATAGGTTTCTAAATAAAACTGTAAAGAAAAAAGTAAACAAATAAAAATGTAAAAATGCAATTCACATGTCTCACAATGTGATTAAACTGCCTGCTAGACGCTAATAAAGCTAAATAAGAGTTTGCCATAGGCTAGTACTGTTTTCATCCTTTTAACTGAATTCGTTAACAGAAGGTTAAGATAAACTTCAGACAGTCAGCAGGAAGCAGAATTAATAAAAATGTCTGTGGCAAAAACACCAAAATAGTGTTTGACACTATGTGCAGCTGAAAAAAGCCAGACCATATAACTGAATTGTTACAAACATGCTCTAATATTGTATTGGGGATGCTAACAGAAAGCTCAGAAACCCAGGCATTTCCTGTCCACTTAATAAACTACTCTTACTCACTCTCTCTCTTTCACATACACACATACACAACAGTCCATCAGTGAGATTTGTGTAGGTGGCAGAAGGTACTCTTCCAAATCCAACTGGGCTGATTACTGATTAAAGGGGATTACGGGGAGGTCAGGGCTGGGGCTATGACCGCGTCTCCACCACACACACGACCCTTTTTCTGACCTAACAACACATAAACATATTGTTGCACACAAAAAGCGAGCGTATTGGATACAAGGGAGGAGGGAAATAAGCCGAATTGGGGAGGTACTTGGCAAAGCATTGAGCAAAGAGAGGCAGACGAGCTTGGGTGAGTATTAAACCATTTACTGCTACCCTTAATTCTGTAGGGATCATCTTCATTCATTGTGTCTGGCTAAGCACAGGGATGTGTTTGTCTGTGAGAGTAGGTGAACTATGTTTGGTCTGCTTTTTTTTGTACTAATAGGTCATACAAAGGTTTTACATCTAAATTTTACATTATTTTTGGCTCTTATTTCGGTGCATGTTGTATATGTCTTTTAGATATGCAAAGTTGTGTAACAGTGGAGTCTCCAGTGTTTCAATCCAGTATCAGCATATTAAATCTACTGCCACTCGTGTAAAATGGTTGGATATGTACGGTCTTGTGCAAAAGTCAGAGGCCACCTTTCATTCATTTAATTTCCAGTCAATATAGCTTTAACTTCTGAGGACATTAGATAGAAGATAATTTATTTGCATAAGGAAAGGGAAAGTCAGATGAAAACTGAAAAACAGTGAAAAACTGAAAAAAAAATCCAAAAATGATTACAAATTATAGAGAAAATAGGACTCCGAACAACGATACATGCTGTTATCAGATAAACAGTACTTAGAGCCTTCATCTTGTCCCGACCTCAACATCACTGAATGTGTTTGGCATTACTTGGATTGCAAGAAGCAGAAAATGCAACCAATTTCTAAGACTGAACTTTGGAGGTGCTGAAAAATATCCCTGCAGATTTCTTTGAAAAACTGAAAGCAAGTATTCCAGGACCGTAAGCTGTAATAAATGAATTTTGTAGTGTTTCATTTACAAGAAGTTACAATTGTTTCTGGCACATAGTTGTTTTGTAGACAGACAACACAAAGAATTATAAACACAGAAGGGAATATCTGGGAGTGTAAACTAACTTCAGCATTGTTGTTGTGTGTCTAAGCACGTAAGCATCTTTCAGGACATCTCTTGGGAACATAATGGAAAACTAGTCCATCTGCTTGAAGACATCCTCAAATGAAAGATTCAGCTGTGTGCTCCAAAAGGCCAGACAATGTTCTCTGGCATCTGATGGACAGAATTTAATACCATGCATGGTCTTTTTGCACCTGTTATGGAAGTATACACTGCCACTGAGAGCACAGATATGAAAAATGATTTACTATTGCAAGACAAGCTGCTTTGATGGGAATCCCATTAGGTCATTTTCAATCATTTCAGTTTAAGAAAAGATGTCCTTCCTCAACAATTTCCTCTGCTCCTCAACAACTACAACACATTTTAAAGGCTCTGTCTATTTATTCTGTTCTTCAATCCAATCTCCCATCACCTACTATTTATCCCACTAAATTTTACATTCACCCCACTCTTTACAGTCAACACCTGTAGTACCATCAGGACAGAGCTTGATAGCTGATATTTAGCCAAAAATGGCTGTTCTACGGGTGAAGTTCACTAAAAGCCAGAGGGACAAGCTGGCTCAGGTGCTGTGGCTGCTGAATTGGGTCTCTGTAGTGACAGGGATCATCCTCTTCAGCCTGGGCCTTTTCCTCAAAGTGGAGATCAACAAGAGGAGGGAGCTAATGGCCGAAAGGGAGATTCACTCTGTGCCAAACATGCTTATTGCCGTGGGGCTGATAGCTTGCATAATAAACTTTGTAGGAGGAAAGATCTGCTATGACTGTGTGGACACCACCAAGTTCTTGCGCTGGAAGCTGGTGATGCTTCCTTACATCATTTGTACGTTCTTCTTCACCCTGTGTGTGTTGGTCGGAGCACTAATGTGCTACAGTATGCATGGGGAACTGGAGGAATCCCTGGCGCTGGGACTAAACGATGCTATGCGCTACTATAAGGACACAGATACACCAGGCCGTTGCTTTCTGAAGCGCACCGTGGACCTGCTGCAGATCCAGTTCCAGTGCTGTGGAAATAAAGGCCACAGAGACTGGTTCCAGATACAGTGGATCAGCAATCGCTACTTGGACATGTCCAAACGAGAAGTGCTGGAGTAAGTAAGGTGGTTTTTCTTGCTAATGTTGAATAAGAATTGTTGTAGTATGCAAACATTAGAGTTTAAAATGCACAATTCACTCTGCAGTCCATACACAGAAACCAAGATGGAAAAATATCACATTTTGAATTCATTGTTTACACATGACCATCCATTTAGCCTATAGCAGTTTAGTCCTGCCCATTTGCACTGAAGTGATAAGGAGTGTTGTTACCGCTGACAGGCTGCAACAGAGTTAGTAACTCTGAATATGTAAGGAAAACCAATTAAATATTGATCTGTTCAGCACCGTTGGATAGCAATTGTAAGACTGCAGCTTACAAGAATCCGGACATCCAAAAAAAGTGGCAAACGTTTATTTTTTCCCAGCATCATCCATGGTTTTCTGTTTGTTCAGTGAATTTCAGCTAGAATGTTCTGGACGAGGTAAAATACAGGGCAGCCAAGCATAACAGGTCATTTGCATATACCTGTCTTAAAAACACCAACAAAAGCAGCCTGTTGAATTCTAAGATACTACAAGATAGTTTGGAAAAAGGTCATGTAAAAACAAGTGTATGTTTTTGGTACATAAAATCGCACAAATGTTATAAGTGGACTTTCGGGAAAATAATAAATACAAAACAGATCTAAAGAAAAACGTAGGCCATTTAAATTAAGCCTACAAACAAGCACACCCTGAATGGATGATGCTGAACTTCATTTCCATCCACTGATAAGTCACCTCCTATTTTTCTTTTTTAGCCGTTTACGCAGTAACGTAGAGGGAAAGTACCTGATGGATGGTGTACCTTTCAGCTGCTGTAATGTCAACTCACCTCGACCCTGCATTCAGTATCAACTCACCAACAACTCGGCGCATTTCAACTACGACTACCAAACTGAGGACCTCAACTTATGGAAGAGGGGCTGTCACCAGGCCTTGGTGGAGTACTACACCAACATAATGCACTCAATTGGCCTTACGGTGCTTCTCATCTGGCTCTTTGAGGTTGGCACTTGCTTACTTTGGCACGAGTGTTGTGGTAGATTTATTTTGACTTTCTGCTGAATTAGCAACAGTATGTGTACAGTTACCCAAGAGGCAAAGTTACAACTATGCTTTATAAGAGAAACAGCCAGGTTAAACAATTTCCCATAAATCCAACATTGGAAACTTTACTTACATGTTAACTAATCCCACCTGTGATTAATGCAAACTCAATGTTCGTTCATCGTGTTCTCTCTCTTCTCCGACAGCTCTCCGTGCTTACCGGTGTACGTTACCTGCAAACAGCCCTGGAGAACGTTCTGCGGCAAGGAGATCCCGAGTCCGAATCGGACGGATGGTTGCTGGAGAACAGCTTTGTGGAGACTGCACGCTCGAACTTCAACATAATTAAAAATCTGGGAAAATGCAACCAAGTCGACACAACAGTAAATGGGGACCCCAACATTGACAAACCGTGTACAGCACACTATGGCCCTGACAACGTGCCTCCAAAGCAAACGCCTGTTGCCAGTTAACTTGGTCCTAATTCATTTCTATGTGCTTTATCAAACTGAAAGAACTTAATACAGTACCAACAATTTGGAATGTTTTTTCCATTCCTCTGTAATTGTTCCATGAATGGGAGAGTTTTTAACCTCGGATGACTGGGACAACAGGCAAATAGTAGAGCACATACAATTTCCATTTCTATTTTACTGGATCTTCAGTGCAAAGGCATTTTAACACTGTAATAGCAGAGAAAGGGTACTCTGAAATATGTCTGAATAAAACAGTAGAATAGTCTCATCAAATCTAATGTGAAACAGAACATCAAGAACAATGCAACTCGTCCTGAGGCCTTGATGAAACAAACTGTCTTACATTCACACTTACTCTGAATGACTTTGAGAATGCCTCTTGTACAATGTGATTATTTAAGTGTTTTACAAAGTTTATTTAACAGCAAAAACATTCGCTTTAGATTTTAGGAGCTGCTTTGTAGTATTTCTTTAATGCCCCATTCTGACCACTATTTGAGTGTGCATTCAACGTGTGTAACTAATTCAAAACTTGTGCCTAATGCTCAGTGGTACACTGGTGAAGTACATCTTATCATCTGCCTCTAATACCTCTTTTCCACACCTATGATTGATTTTTATAGTACAAAGAATGACATCATGAAACTTTGGAATGCTTTTTTTATAATAATACTGAACATACAACTAAAGATAAGGGTTACCCCTGATCCTTAGGTTATATGGCAGAAGACTGTGACAACTGTGAACCTTGACCCCCACCCCCACCCCCACGTCAATAAATAGTAGCACTGTGCATAACAGAATCTCATATCCAAAACATTCCTTTACACAGCGGTACACAGGTGTCATGTATAAACGGATTCAAAAGATTTGAAAGAATGAAAGTATAAGGTGCTATTCTAAGCCAACTCCCTGAATGAAACACAGAAATCAGTGACTAACCCTTATTATTCAGAATGTGGTAGAAGAGTCATTTAGTAAGCTAAACTGAATTATGTTAGGTGGTCAAAAATATCAAATGAACAGCAACAGAAGAAGGAAGTCTTGACACATCTTATTGTGTCACTTATACAACTTTGTTTTCAACAACAAAAAAAGTTAATATTTATTAGTGCAGTATCCCAAACTATATTTGGTAGCTGAGAGTTTTACAGAACACATAAAGCATGCTACTTTATGCTTCTGCACTGCAAGCTTTTCTAGGACTGTTTTGAGCATTGTGTTCATTTTCTGCCAGTTTGCCAGAATATATTAAGGAATTTAGAAGGATAAATTACACAAACTGCACTCTTAAAAAGATGGTTCTTCAAGGGTTCTTTAGTAAAGACAGTGGTTCTTTATGAAACTATGAGCATTCAAAGAATCATTTGCATGCTTAAATGCTTCGTCAGATTGATGGAGAATGTGTAGTACATGATCCTATATAGAACCTTTTTGAAAAGGGTTCTATATATAGCCCCAAAAAATGTTCTGCTATTGTTACAATGCCAAGCTTGAAACAATAGAAGTACCCAAAAAGTTTCTATATACAAACATTTACAACACACTCCCTATCAATCTGAAGAACGATTTTATCATGCAAAGAACCATTTAAGCATGGTATTATATAGAACCAGTCATTACTAAAGAACCCTTGAAGAACCATTTTTAGTGTGTGTAGTCTACTTGATCCATGTACATAATAAGCTGTATAACTGTGAACATTCTAGAGGCATGCTTTTTTAAAAACAGGTTACAAGTCAAAAATAAAGGCCCCATTAGTAAGGACAGGAAATTATTTTCATTACAGTATTATCATTTTATTTCACCAGGCAAGATGACTTCCAGCACTGTTAAAGTAATGTAGATGCAATATTTTTGATGTGAACGTGTGATAAATTAAGTTAGCCGAACAGTTAAGATGGTAACAATAGTTAGTGAAGTAAAGTTCAAAATGGACTGTCATTTATGAAAATGGCTTATAATTAAATTCATTTCACTAACCAAGAAGATACCTGCATCCGGTTTACAAACTCATGATTATCACCTTGGAACTGCTTGTGTGTTGATGGTTTCCAATGTTTTCTTATTGTATTCATTTAGTAAAATAAGATTAATCTAACATCATCCATGTTTATATACAGGTGAAGAACAGCATAAACTCTGCCAGAGGTATACAATTTAACTGGCAAAACAACTTGCCAATCTGGAAATAATGAACATCCTTTTATATGTAAGGGATCTTTGTATAATATATTCATATACTGGTATAATATATTCACATTGATAGTTTTCCCACACAGTAGAGAGAAAGGATGACAAGTTCATAGATGAGGAGGACAGGATAGCTGGGCTAGCATTTAACACAAGTGCAAAAGAACAGAAAGCATTTTCCGCAAAAAGTGCGTACACAAGTAAGACAATATGATCCTGCCTCACTTTAATACTTAGAAAGCAATGCCTAAAAACTTAATTACTTAATCATGGAAACACTTCAAGCTGAACAAAGAAAATTAAAGCTACATGTGTGATGACCTTTTCCTTGCTTCACTATGATAGCGTGCACAGGCCAAGTGAATCCTTAAACAGTTAAAAAAAAAAAAATCCTCAAAGCCAAAATGAAACACAGACGACCAAACTAACATCCCACCCTCCTACATATCCTGTGTGACTATCCTACATATCTGACTGAGTAAAATACGGGAGATTGTGGGAGAGTCTGGTACTCCCTGAAGTCCAGCAGCAGTCTTCCTGCAGGCCCACTCTGCCCAAACCTGAGCTCACAGCATCTGCCACTCAAAGGCAAACATGACGTTGAGCACCTCCAAGCTGCGGGCGATCTCCTCAAGGATGCAGTGCTGCTGCCACAACTGTTGCAGCTTCCTGTAGCGCTCAGGACACAAGTGCAGGGGGTTCCCACGCCTGCCAAACACAAACAAACACATTACAGTTCGATACACCTAACAAACAGTTAATAAAGCAGAATTCCTTATGGAAAAATGACCTATAATGTATTTTAAATGGGGCACTGTTAAAATCTATCCGTCTCATTTTTAACAGTGCGATTTACCCTAGCTGAGGATCTGTCTCCCCGTAGTCATCAAGGTAAGGGGCTGGATATGTACTTCCTCGTGTCCTACTGGCCATCAAAACAATCTCACACTCCCTCACCCTGTTCAGTAAGACACACAAAGAGGAGATCGGTAAACAAGAACATGTAAAAACTGAACACATCATACTCTGGGAAATATAATCATCTAAATTGTGAAGCAGTTTCACTGTAACATATTTGCTGTACTTATAACACAAGCCCTGAATTACAGTTAAAGTTGAAAATCTATTTTTTCCCCAGAATAGAGCCATCTTACTCCAACATTCTCTTTTATGTCCACCTTACTGGATTTTAGGGCTGGGACATGCAATTGCAATTTGCAATTTTATGCAATTTTGAAAAATCAATAAAAAAAATATTGATTAATGTCGTTTTTGTTCAACTTTCTTAGCAGAATGGGATGATACTCAATCTTTAAGTTACACTGGCTAAAGGAAAAATCCATATGGATCCATTCCTTCTTCCTACATGTCTTCCTCCCACATTCTCAGTGTTAAATTAAAAATGGAGGTTTCAGCATGTTAAACCCATAACAATTGTCTCACGATAGGTAAACATTAACAGTAATTATATACGAATAATACTGTTTCAGTTGGAATTTTCCACTCTGATGCATGTGTATATTACGTAACATCATAAGTAGCGTTATTATTCTGGAACAACTGATCAGAGTGTAGATCACTCATGCATACACAAAGGAAAGGGAAAAAAAAAATCTACTGATCTAATTTATGAGTGTTACTGATAATTATCAATAAATGATCCCTACCGGAATTTCTACAGTTTTCAGCAAAAATAAGCCTGTGTATTCAAGAGTGCTAGTGAGAACTAAATCTAAATCCAAGATCAAAACTGCTCAAGCTTCCAAAGAAGCAACAACTGCCTTGACCAAACTGAACAGTATGGAGGAAATGTTGTTTCACATTTCATACATCATTTCATTCACATTGCTCAATTTAGACATGTTCTAGTACCATGCATAATAAGGACAAATATGTTCTACAGAAATACATTCATTTCAAACTATTACAATGCTCACCTAAGGAACATTCCCACCCCAGCCCCACAGGAGGCAGCGTGGGCTGTGCAGGCGCCCACCTCCTCCCCATCCAGCTGCACATGACAGCAGGGGCTCTGAGAACAAAGCATGGTTCCACAGAACAGACACAACGTTGGGTGTTTCCGCTCGTCATCTGATGACTTTGGACATCTGAAAGAGATGAAGAGACGTCAGCTACACAATCCATACGTTTATATAAGGATATCAGGCCAAAATCTTTATATATTACATACTAACACTATTTCTAAAGGCAGGAAACAAAGGAAGTTAAAAAAGAGTGATAATCTGCACTTACTTAAAGTGACTGGCCTGGTTAAGCAGCACGCTGTAGTCCTCAGGAAGATCAATCAGCTTGTTTCTCTTCCGAGGATACCTGTTGTAGTTTGGTTTTGAGAAAATTTAATAACATGTTAACCTGGGAGGAAATAAATGTGCTGTGAAAAAGAAATTAGAGCAGTGTGCACTAACCTGACAATGTTCATTTCTCCCTTTAGGGCTTTTAATATGGCATCATTTCCACACCACCTGAGACACATGATGCAGAACATTTAAAATAATAAGTAATAATATATAATAATAAAATAATGGAGACAAAAACAAAAACAAAGTTAAAAGTACTTGCTAAGTGCAATAAAATCTAAATAAAAATTTAAAAATGTGTGTTAAAAAGTGTGTGATAAAATAATATAAATAAAAACGACAGTTTTCCAAAACAAGAAAGCTACATTAAAACTATAATATCCATGGCAACACAAACAAGAACTAAAAAGAATTACACAGAAAAAATAGTTTTCTTATTTTCAATGCCTGACAGAACCTTGAAGTGAATGTCTTTAAGGAAATCTTGCAACCTAGCCAAACGTTGTCTACTGTTGCACTAGTTTAATTCTGGTAGCTCCTCTGAATGAAACTAAAGTCCAGTTTGGGATTAGAGTACCAGCCTGTTTCTGATAAAAGCAGACAAGTGCCTGCCGGCAGCATTAGAAAACGGAATCAAGTAAACTGTGTACTAAAACTCTGGCTTTTCATAAAATAAAAATAAAACTAAAGCTAATAATGCAGTATTAAGACGAACTGAAATCAAAGTGAAATCAAAAACAAAGAAAAAACCTTAATAAAAATCAAACTAATCTTTCACTCTTTCAAAACTGTAACAACTGATACATGATAGTTTGTCAGTATTGTACCTCTGTATTAAGGGGGTTACAGTGTCCCTGTGTTCCTGGAAGAGCTGGAACAGGTTGCAGGGCAAAGCGAGGTAACTACATAGCAGAGGCAACTGACTGTCAGGGGACTCTGAAAAAGAAAAAGGAATAAAAAAAGTTGGACATTTCTGAAATCACACAGTCATTAAGAAGAGTACTAAAAGTACTAAAAAGTCCAAAAAGTCTGAATGAGTTCTGAGAGTCATTAACCTGCAGTACTGGAGAGGGCCTCTGGTGGGGGCACTCCTGTAAGGCAATTAAAGAAAAGTGCAGCACAGCGAAGAAAGGGTAGAACACCTCTCCTTACTCTGTCTGCAATCATGGAACCAGATACACCTGACCTTAGCCTGAGAGAAAGAGATATTAAAGAATGAGAGAGGTAAAAGAAAAAAAAACACAAAAAGCAAATATCCTGGCAGGAGACAGAGAGTGACAAGTGTTTGTATAAATGCTCATATTAGCTTATCTGATTACTCCTGAGCCATTAATTCCACAGTGTCTTGGTGCACATATACAGAAATATTCTCACCCCTCTGTGTGTTGCGATACAGTAGAGTAAAGTGCTTCTGCAGCTCTGGCCTCCTCTTCATCTCCCCCTCCTATCACTCCACTGGAGTCTGATCAAGTAAATATAATTTAAAATATAATACCCATTAACTTGTACTATCTTCCACATATCAGAGTTGACTGGCCAGTCAGTAGCCACAATGACAAAGCTGAGTGAATGTTATTTGTGAGAATTATTCTACTTTGTGTGCATGTTGTGAATGTCATTACCATGTGAGGACAGCAGGACCTGCACTACATGGGCCACAGTGACTAGGTGCACTAGGTGAAGGTGATTGTATGCTGTACTGATTGCTGAAGGCTGCAAGTCAACATTTTCTTCTTGATACAGCGCAGGTATAGACAAAACAAGCCCCACCTGTGGAATGCAGAAGTTTTTTTAGAGGATTTCTTCAGTGCGGAATGGGGCTGCAACGGTATGAGACTTTCATGATATGATAAGGTCTCAGAAAACATCATGCTATAAAGCATTTCACAATTAGTTGAAGCAGGATTTTACTGCTGCAATTGGTTGAGGTGGAGCTCTTTTGAACAATTCTGTATCCAAGTAATGATTATTCTCATTATGGCTTAATTTGCTGATTAATTTTTCTCCATTAATCGATTGATTGGTTTTTAAAAATTCTGAAAACAAGTCTTCCATTCTTTAAAGAATGGAAAACTTCTGAAAACCCTGCTATGTATGAGTGATAAGGTGCTGTTTTTAGGTATTTTAATTGATCGGTCTTAGTTTTTGCCTTTTTTGTATTGTGATAACTTTAGAAATGTGTGTACCACTCAACCCATTTGTCAATAAATTGAAGGTGAATTTTGATTTAAGAAAAACTGTGAGAAATCGACCAAGCTGGGAACATTCGTGTGTGTTTCTTTATAGGCTCAGTGTGTGCCTGGTTTTAAGTCAGAGGTTACCAAATGGGACACATACTTTGATCTGCACGGAGGGATGGTGTTCTCGAAGATAGGAGAACATGTTTGATGTGTTTCCTCATTTGGCAACCACTTTGCTTCTACTTTTTTGCAAACTGGATATCCATCCTCGAGGACAGCCCCACATCAGTTTTTGGGATATCCGAAGTAATGCAACACTGCTGATTTTAATTTCTTTTTTGGGGGATGGAGATTGATAATATCAGTCTCACTTCTCTCAGCCACTTTCTCCACAATATGTGCGTGTGGCACATATTGCCAAATCTGACAGGCAGTCCAGGAGGAAAGGAGATTCTCTGTTCAGTTGCATTTTTTCCAATACAAGCATTTTTTTCAATACTAGTACAATAACTATCAATTTTCATACCATGGTATACTGTGAAACTGGTTTACCGCTACAACCCTACTGCAGGAACAGGCAGTGATTTGCCTACACTCACACACTACAATTCAAATACTTTTAGTTACAAGTATTATATAGGTATTATTAAACACACTCACACTCTATTAAAACATATGCTTACCAAGAGATGAAAGAAGTCTACTTCTAATATTGAGGGTGTGCCTTCTGTATCAGGGACAGGCACCAAGACTATAAGGAGAGAGGGACAGAGAGCAAAAATCACCAGTACGTCAAAAACAAAGCCCATTCAGAAAGGCACTTTTATCTCTCTGTGCACTGTAAAAAAGCTAGAGACCACACTTCATTCATCCAGTTTCTAACCAAAACACAAAGTTCAAGTTTTTCAGGAGATACTTCAGATCAAAATGGTCCACTGGAGTATCCAAAACTGGAGCTAAAAAAAATACAGAGAACATGAGACTCCTAAGAACCATGCAAGAGCTGGCAGACTACCCAGAATGTCACCACCAAATAAAAATCTTTGAGAGAAAAATCAAGCTTTACTTACAGACCACAGGTGTTTCTGTCTAGCCTTTCACTGTAAGAAGACAACTCAATGCTATGGGTCTGAAAGGATGTGTAGCTATCAAACAGTTACTGAGAAAATTTGTTTTCTGCTGAAAAAATCAATAACTTAATGGCAATTTTGACTGGAAATTAAATCAATGAAGTGTGGTCTCTGACTCTGAGGACAGAAATGGAGCCATACCTGCTAGCATGTCTGTAAAATGCTTCTGGATGACTGTTTGAAAGCTCTTCAGTCTCTGAACTGCTGAGAACTGTACCACTGCTTTCAGTCCAGACAGCTGGAACATACCATTACAAAAGCAGCCATCAGACCACATAAATCAAATACATATAGGAATGAACAGAATAATTACACACACATGCACGCACAAAATTCAGAAACAAATTCAGAAACCAACCTGTCTGTTCTGTAGAGAACCAAATAGAGCTTTTCCCTCCTCCTGCAACATGTTCTCTGTAAGAGCACAGACATGATTTCTGGGTAAAATGACATACACATGGCTATAAAACACAAAAGCAGATCTGCCAGTTGAGGAACTGAATGGTGAAAAGCCTCTCACCAACAGCCTGAATGGTGTAGGCGCAGGTGTTCCAGGTCATGACAGGCACATGAGGGCACAGCTCATTGGGTGCAGTCTGCAGACCCACCCTGTGCACTGTAGTGGCACACACTACCAGCATATCTGTTATGCTGCTGGAGTACTTAGGCCTGACCAAGACAGAGCAGTGCTTGGATTCACTTTCATTTTTCACAGTTTGTGTCACAGTTCAAACAGGTTTCTCCTGTTATACATGCTAGCACAAGATATAAATAATAGACTGATTGTTCATACAAAAAAATAAAAATAAAAAAAGTGGGACTCACGGTGGCTGAACTCCGAAGCTGAGGATTGACCTGAAGTCAGTTTGGTCATCCTCAAAGAACCCTTTTTCCTCTTTCCCCATCTCAGCATTATTATCTGAAACTATACGATAAATGAGTTCTATATGTCAATTTGTATTTACCATTTATTTCCCCCCATGGTACCCTGAATGTTAGGACAGAATTGACAGAAATGTACTCACCAGCTCTTTGAGCAGCTCTGAGGCCTTTGATCCGAGCCAGTACTATCTGTATCCAACGAGGAAGAGTGAGGACTTCACCAACCAACTTGGCACTCTCACTAACAGGAAAAAGAAAGGTATAGAGATTTATAAATGTTTAATAAAAACTATCAATGTACAGTCTGCTAAGAGTAGTATTTGAAGCATTCATACTAGTTGAGTTTGCTTGGCTCCAAGGGAATAAGGGGGACCACAGTATTGCAGAGAGACTTGCAGAGTGGGCACATATACTCCCCATTCTCCAAGTCTATAATCAGCTCAGCATGCAGCCGGTTCCGAGTAGTGTTCTGCACTGCCTCAAAATACCTGCACCAAGAGATGATGCAAAACCTTTGAGTAGGGATGCACAATGATGTCGGAATCATATGGGTACCGGCAGATACTTGCTTTCAAAAGAAATATCTGCATTAGACCCATGTTTAGATTTGACCAATATTATAAAACCACTATCTGATGATTTATTGTACTCCTAATAAGCAGAACATTTAGGTGATAATGGGCTCCTGTGCTAAAGTATCTGCAGTTCATTCATTTTACTACATTTGTAACCCTCTCTGTAATGCTAATCCAGGTTTATTTAGCCCGAATTTAATTTTAGAAATGTTTATCCACCACATGTAAAACATCAGATACTGGCATCAGAGACTAGTGCATACCTACTTTTGAGCACTTCATAACATATCAAGGTAAACACGAACATAGTTAACATACAGCTTGTTTATTAATTGCAAACATGAGGCAGCATTTTTCAGACTCACTTTTGCCAGCAGGTGGCATGCATGACGTGTCCACAGCTCCCAGTGTGAGTGCCCACAGCTAGATCAGGAGGCATAAACAGGGGGTAGGAGCCTTCTGTCCAACACAGACAAGCACAGCTTCAGTGTTTACAAATTTGAGCATGTGTTCCAAAGTGTATGAGCGTGTTAGGCGCATCACTAACCCTTTGTGGAGAGGGTTTTGCCCCTGTACTGGGTGAGGACTGTAGATCTCTGTACACAGGCTGTGAGGACCATGGCTGGAGCCCGAGCCTGTACCTCCTGTTCCTCTTGACACAGGATACAGGTCAGAGCTTCCCAGTCCGCAGGACACACTCCCTGCTGAGGCCCCACTGCCACATGCCTCTCTTCAAACTCCATCGCACTGCTGCACACATGAACCATTAAGCCAAAACCATTAGAAGCACAGAAATGCATCTGAAATGCATCAATTATAACAGATTAGAATAATGAATTGCATTCATTTTTTTTTTTTAAATAAAATAACATTTTCAAACAATTCTGACAACATGGTGTCTTTGTAAAAATAGCTCCGCTAGCCACATTGGTCAATTCTATGTATTCATAAGAGTAATTCTAAATCAATAACTGTAAATCAAGATTGTATCATTTAACTGAAGAATCAATCGTAAATCAAATTTTTTGTAAAGTTGATCAGACTTCTACACCCCTGAAAACCAGAGATGAAAATGTCTATAAGGAGTTATATTTTTAATCTATTTGTTTTAGCCTTATTACTGGACTACCTAGGCTGAGGTCTGTCTTGATGAGCACCAGTGTCGGCCAAGTATCTCAATGAGTATAAGATTCACAACTCTGCAGAGAGTTTTTCCAATGCTGCCTTACAGATCTGACGTTTAAAACAGTGAGTTTCTTCAGTATTAGACCTACAGATCCCACAGTAATGCTTCAGTAAACAAAAACAAAAAAAAAGTCTGAAAACAAAGCATGGCAACACTGCCAAATTTGTCCTACTCTCTCCTACTTCATCAGACTTTTTCTCACCAATCCATAGGCGTTGCAGGCTCGCCTTGGCTTCCACTCTCAGGCACATTGTCATATAGCATCTTGTGAGTCTCAATAAAGTTCTTCTGCATGGCAGACATCTGAGCCATAATCTTCTGCCTGTGCAGCTTCGCAGCCTCAGCCTTCCTCTTGCGGTCCTGAAAACTCTGCACACATATTCAGACCTTTACAAACCTAAACAACAAGACTGACACGAGTATCCAAGTCAAATTAGCCAATACCTAGAAAAGAATACTAATGACTGCTGGCATATAATCATGTGGTTAATCAAGAGAGTTGTTTAGTAGTTTGTAATGAGTGCATTTGCTGAAATCCCATTACCTCCTCAGGCTTAGTCTGATCCACTGCACACGCAGCAGAAGGGCTGGATTTCTCACGAAGGCACTTCACAATCTCAAACATCTGAAAACAAAGGGAAAATGAAAGGTTTTAAAATTTTAAAATAGAGTCGTTGCTTCATCTGTTGTAAATGAGCTTACTCAGAGTCACTGTCTTTCTTTATGGTACCAACATAGGTAGGAGTTAGATTAATGCTAGTTTGGTGGTATTTAGAAGCCTGTAGTTCAGTGGCCAGTGGTAGCAGGCAGGACTGGTTGATTCCCAATGGTTGTGTTATGTATTTGTGCAATAATTGCTGGGCATTGTAGTGCAGTACTGATTAACAACAACATAAAACTATAAAAAATTGTGAACTCTGTAAACCTGACTACCCTGAGATTCCGTGTTACAGAACAGTGCATAACATGACAAACAACACAAACTCTAGTTTTAAGCCAGAATTTCCCTGTAAGTGCAGTAGTTAAAAAAATATGATTAAATTGCTAATTAAGTCTGTAATTAACTAGATCACAAACCTGTAGTAACCAATTAATCATGTCCTTCTGAGCATCAAGAGAAGGCAGCGTCTTCATCTGGGACAGAAAATGGAATAACGACTTGCCATGATCCGAGCCAATTGCTAGAAGAAAACACATAGATACAGATAAGAGTATGTGGTGTGCATGTGAGGAGCATGCTATAAATCCACTTTTTCATCCTTCTCCCTGTTTCTTTAAAAAGTTAGAGAAAGACAGAGAGACATACTTCGTGCCTTGTGACTGAAGTCAAATGTCACTTCATCAACATTGCTGGCCTCCAGCTGAGTTTTCTCCTCAATCAATGCCTGGCCTACAAGATGCAATGCCTGGAGTGCATACACATACATAAACACACTTATTATACAATATTAAAGAATCATGAAGATATACAATGGTATTACCATGTGGATCAGCCAGCAAACAGACCACAAAGGCAACCCGGTATACCACAATATTTTCCTTAATAAAAGAAGGAGAATAAAAAAAAAATGATGGAAGTGTCAGCTTACCCTTTGGATCATGGCCTCGCTCCACAGAGTGGAGCGCTCCTCCACTGCCCTCTGCAGTACTCTCCTCAGCACATGGATAAACACATCACAGCACAGCAGCCGCACTATGCTAGAAAAGGCAGGGGTGAAGGGAGGCGGTACTGGGGGCCTAAGAGCTACAAATCAAAGAAAGAGAACGGTCAGCATCACCGTTCCTCTAGGGAATGACACTGTGGTTGTTTAAGTCAAGTGCAAAGCTTTCTAGGAATGGTGGCTAGCTACAATGGCTGCACTGAAAATAAGGTACGGGCCCACTTTGAGGGGTGTGTCAAAATTGTAAGCTTTGTTACTCTACCTGAAACTCTTTTTAGCCCCAGACTAGGGTTAACTTTCTTAGTTAATGTCCACTGTACACTGCACATGCACACCTAAGCCACTCAGTGATGAGGAAAATGACTACATGCCTTTATCACTCCCATCTTGGGCCCTTCTCTTTTTCTGTGCATCTTCAGCCTGTGGGAAAACAAAAAATTCAGTTGCAATAACAGAAGGTACATAAAGGCAGTAAAAAGTATAAACATTGTACACATACACTGTACCTTGCTATGTTGTGATTTGGTGTAATGGTAAAAGAACGGATTAAACTCCTTAAGACATTCCTTCTTCAGTTCATATAAACCATGACCAGAGACTCCTGGTTTCCTGGACAAGGTTGAATGCATAAATTAATTCATACATACATGCATACAAGCTATTTTCCTTTAAAATTCAGATATTTTTCCAGTTTTATGTCACTGACTTACTTGAACGTGGCAACTTTTGCAATAACAGATTCAAGCCCAGTTTCATGACTTTCCTATAATACGAAAACAACTGCATCATCATCACAAAGTCATCTATTAAATCATGTTAATGTAGTTAAAGACGAAGATTTTTCTACACATTCAGCACCCTCTGACTAGAGATATGTAAAGGTAGTGCAATTCTCTTACATTTTCTGGCAGTCCTTTGACCAAGCTACTGTGAGCCATGGGTTCTATACACAACAAATGAATCACTTCTCTCATTGTCACTTCCTGTTTAGTCACATTACTGATTCCAGGGACATACCGCTCGCCTGCCCAAAGAGAAAATGAAAGCAGACGTAAGCTTCTTATGAAGCCATAAAATCAACAGATGAGAAGATGAGTACTTGAGTCATCTGTGCAGCTGGATAAGATAAAATTCACAAGAACCCATGGAAGCTAAAAACTGCATGCTTTCTATGAAATTGAGTTATCATCTTCCACCAATATATTCCTTTACAATCAAACACAATACATAATAGTGTTATGAAAACTTGCCTACGATGACAATCAACAGGTACAGCATTTCTTCTGTCAATCTATTCCACTGTTTCAGGAGGTCCTGTACAGAGTAGGACATTCCTATCAACCATCAGTCCTCCACACCCTAAAACTATGCCTACACGTTTTGTAAAATCTCAATAATGTTCTAGAAATCATCAGATATCAAAATATTACTATTACTGACAAATTCTAACATTTATGTTGTCTAGCTTTCTAGACTATAAGCAAGTAGCCATTGTAATGTTAACCAACATACCTGATCTTTACTTGAACAATTTCCATTAAAAACCTCAAAGAGTTCAAATCTCAACAAAATAAGCATAATGAAGTGGTTTGGGTCCATTTTGGAGGCAGCAATCTGTGGATGACAAAAATGGTTTCAGTCTTAACAGCAAACATGTAATTTCTATGTATTTTGAATACAGTGCTAAATGCATTACACCCTATGGCAAGTCGCCAGAATAGTCTAGTACAAACCTGAAGCATGATTATGTCCTTATCAAACATTTCATCTCTGCATTTGACGTCTTGATAGTAGTACACCTAAACCACAGACAAAGGTCAACTGCAAGCCAGTGTAGAAAACAACAAAATATTAACACTGTTGAATATAATTTCACTATTTTAGTGCTTGCAGAGCAAATATTTCAAGTTTCCATTTGAAACTGTTCACTAAAACTGACCATTAAAGGGTGCTTATAAAGCTGCCTTCTGTTTAATTTGTATATGCAAACACTAAATGATTATATGATCACACAATCTTTCACAGTCAATAAATTTACACAACACACTTCTGTTTTTCATAATTGTCACTGGTTTGTATATACATCAGACATCACTTCAAGTTTGTTAAGCTACAAACTACAAGTTATATTTCAACACAATTAACCTCCCCTACTTATGACTAACAAAGTACAGAGAGAGGAAGAATGTAAAGAGGTGAACGAGTATGAGACACTATTTCACCTGGCTGACTAGGGAGAGGCCATTTCGGCGCCACATCTCTGCAGACACCTCGGCAGCCAGCACTACACAGCGCAGGGGATGCTCTGCAAATGCAGAGAAGTCCAGGTGCTCCTACACACACACACACACTGCTCTATACCTCGTTCGAACAGTACCATCCACCACTGCAGACATACACAGACAGGGCATCTTTAAAGTGGTGGAGAAGACACATTTTAGAAGTTAGCAGATGACAACTCACAGGATCCACAAAATCAGGGAGGTATTTGACAGCGTCTGCCCGACACAAGAGTACATAAAGACCTGCAGCCACATAGAGAGAAGGGTTAGTTGTGACTGAAAAACAAATTCAGCAACTATTGAGAATGCTTCCTGCAATAATTCATGTTTACAAAGTTTTATTACCTCTGAAAACACAAGGAGCTAATAAACTACCAAAGTGGGTCTGTTTTATCCAACATAAACAATCATATTCCTCTGTGAAAAAGCTCACCAGCCAGCAGTCTGGTAATTGGCAAATGAATGGAGACAGGCTCCTGGGAGACTTTATATGGCCGCGTGTGGAGGATGTGTTTGCACATGTAGCTGTCAGAAGGCTCGCTGTGGAAGGGCTGGTTAGTGCAGCGCAACAGCGCCCGATGACACTCCTGGAAGGCCAGCAGCAAAACTCTTTCCTGTAGAAGATGCATGCTATTAAACAATCCGGTATGATTTTGGGGGAAAAAAACTAAGAATTTTAAGTGGACTGTGGGTGATGTCTATTTCATGTCTGTTTGAACAGGTTAGAAATGGTTAAAAACAGCAAACTGTTTTTAATAATTATTTACTATTTTAATATTTATTTTTTACTTTTCATAACTCACATCGGAGGAGCACCAGTCCTGGAACATGGACAGAATGTGGCGGAGCTGAATCTGGATGGAGAAACCCGCCTCCCATTCGGGTTCAACCTCAATGTGCTGACCAAACTGCCTCTTTACCTCCTCCATTCCCTAGCACAAAGAAAACAGCTCACTGAGAACCCTGAAAGCTACACAACGAATTTGAGGTGCACCTATAACATTCATGTAGCAAAAACTGTCGAAATTCATTTTTACATGACCATTTCCACCCTTTCTTAAACACTGTTTTTTAATGCAATGGAAGTTCATAACTCTTATTTAAAAATATAACCCTGTGAAATAACTGAAAGGTTATGAGACGCCTTACCTGCATACAATTAAGTAGCCCCAGAAAGGCACTAAACCCTTCAAGAAACTTCCCCCTCAATTGTTCAGTCCATGTTGTGGGTTTACTGATCAGAATGTACCTGTGCACAAAACAGACATAGGAATGACACTTTTGTACTATTTCTTATCATTATTATTATATAATTATTATTATTATATATATTATTATATTCTTTGAGACAGTCTTTCAAAAACAGGTGCTCACCTGAGGTCATGGAAGATCACTTGAATTCGGAAGAACTTGTCAGAATTGTAGCCCTGAAAATGGAACCGTTGGTTGTTGTCCAAATGTTCCCTCAGCATTTCCATGACTGTGTCAATAATCACCTTTATCACACTGCCCTCTTCGATCAACTGCCTAGCCTTAAGAGATAAACAGATAAATCAACTCTGTGAAAGGATGAGAATGAAATATTTTAGATCAGTTTCAGAACATTTCTTATTTTTAATTTTCTATGAAACACGACGAATTATAAAAAGATGCATGACTGCCAAAGAGGCAATGTTGTATTTTACATCACAGTATTATAGGTGGTATGTGGCTTTGTTGTGTGTGATTTTTTAATTACCAGGGTGGGTACAGTGAAGATTTGCACAGACAAGGCTGTGATTGAGATGTTTCTCTCATGGTCATCACTGATGAAATCCTCCTGCAACTGCTTATAGTGCTGAAGAAGGATACAGACAAAAAGGGCTAGATCTATGTTTTCTATGGGAGTGTGGTCTATTTTGCTATGACTGATATCTCGGAATAACTAAAACACACCTCTGTAAACTTCATGGCAAACTGCTTTTTATACTCTGTTTCCATCAACAGACTACAGAAAATCAGCTCATGGATGACCTTGCGGGCTCCTAATGAAAATAACAGAAAACCAGGTTTAATCTATAGAGATATTATAAAAATAAATTTTTAATGGAAGCCTACATAACAAAGATCATGGTAATGGTAAGAAGGGGCTAAGGGACTGCTTTAGTACTGGCCTTTGTAGAGTCTGGCATCATGGAGCATAAGTCTACTGATCAAACAGGGTTTATCACTGTCAGCACCAGGCTCCAGAGCCACCTGGCAAAACACCTGCCTAAAGCCCACTGTGCACATGTGAGACAGAAAAGGAGAGAGCAAGAGAGAACTATACATCACAAAAGGAAACACAATTTGACTGCTAATATGACAGATGAAGATGAACCAGGTAACAAAGCACCACAAATGCTGTTCAATTGTTACTAAAACACAAAAACAATTTGCTGTATTTTTATTATGTATGAAGCATTTTCCGTCATTTGAAATGAGACAGGTTTGGGTTTCTATTTGTATATATCCGTTCATTCTACTACTACCACCAGTAATAATAGTAATAACAATAATAATAAGCAGTGTATACCTGAGTAGCCAATAATCTGCTGAAGCCAAGCACCAAGCCTGAGAGCAAAGGTCTGATGAGCCATCACAGCTGAGTGCAGAATCTCTACTCGCAAGGCCTGCTGAGTAATGTGTTCTGAGTTTGACTGCAGAGGCAGGAGATACAAAGACAGAGAGACCTTAGAATGGACAGTCTTAACACTTAAGAGAAAAAAGAAAATCAACAGGAAGAGTTAAGGGTTCAGTGAGAACAGAAGGTGCCAAAACTGTTTACCCTGATGAGATCTTTTACTTCTTCACAGGTTCTTAGGGTTCCTCTCTTTACAGCTCTGCGTCCCTGAAAATAATAAGAGCTGTTTGAGAAACAACTTGCTAGGATGTATAATTAAGGCCTGTATGTGTGTTTATGTTTAACATTTTTCTTGTCAACACAACAATGTGTTTCCTCATTCTTGAAATCACACTACATGACAAAAGAGGAAACTATGTGCATAAGCAGACTTGTCCACACACCTCCTTATCAATTAGAGCGGTGTGTGTGTTAGCTTCATTGTGGTCACAATTAATGGCCCTCTGAAGAGCATAGATCACTTGGTCATAAGAATGGTGCTCATCATTGTAAAGGACACAGTAGTATGTGTCTTCCTTCAATCTGAAAACAGAAAATTTACACAAGTTTACTTTGCACTTTCACACAATATATTCACTTAATGTTTTACAGCATATTTTATAACATCTATTGGAAACTGTACTTAACTAAAAGATCTCTTCCTGTGCCAGTAAAGCTTGTGCAACTGATACCATAAAAGACTGAGAAACTGAAAGTTTACAGCATTCACACACAACTACTCCATAGCTTCTGAACCCTTATGAGACTAAGCACATCATTTTAGTTCTGAGGTACTTTGAGAGTTAGTCCTTAAAAGAATATGGCTGACCCTTGCTTCATTTCCTCAGAGAGCTCATCACCCTCTTCCCACACCATCAGGTCAGTGATGTAGCACAGCAACACCTGGAACAGTGTCTGAGCTCGCTCCTGCAGTTCTGCCCCCAAAACACAGTCATCCTGAAAAACAAACACAGCAAGATCTACAAGAGCTTTCAGAACTATAATATAGGCTATGAGTAATGAAACTAGGTGAGCATTCCTTATAACTTCAGGCTCAATGGGCAGGGTTAAACTGCTGCAGCCTGAATAGGCAGATTTATGTAAATGAATTGGTTCTCATGATATCACAAAAACAATTAATTTAAGCTGTTTCTGCAGTGTAGTTTCCATATAGAGACTGTACAGACTGGGCAGGAAACAGCCCTAAGTTTACATACAACTTAACTGATATCAGTCGGCAGATAATAACAGAGATATCGGGGAGAGGTTCACCACTCTGTGAAAGACTGCACGATCAAATAGTGCAACAATTCAATCATCTACGGTACATAATAACATTAAAAGATTCAGAGAATCTGGAGAAATCTCTGTATGCAAGGGACCGGGCCAAAAAACAGTATTTGCTGGCTGTGATCTTTGGGTCCTCAGGCGGCACTGCATTAAAAACAGACATGATGATCACTGCATGGGCTCAGGAACACTTCTGAAAACCACTGCCTGTGAAAGCAGTTTGTCGCTGCACCCATAAATGCAAATTAAAACTCTAAAACACAAAGAAGAAACCATATATAAACATGATCCAGATATGCTGCCACCTTCTCTGGGCCTGAACACATTTAAAACGGACTGAGGGGAAGTGGAAAAGTGTTCTGTGTTTTTTTGGAAATCATGGACACTGGGATAAAGACCACCCATCTTGTTATCAGTGGACAGTTCAAAAGTCCGTATTCATGATGGTATAGGGGTGCATTAGTGGACATGGCCTGGGTGACCTGCACATCTGTTAAGGGACCATTCACCATGCTGAATGATATTTGTCTTTTTCAGTGAAGGCCTTGCTTATTTCAGCAAGACAATGCTGAAACAGGCAAAATATAAGCATTCTGCATGTATTACAACAGCATGGCCGGGTGCTAAACTGGCCTGCCTGCAGTCCAGACCTGTCACCCACTGATAACATTTGGCACATCACGAAATGAAAAACACGACAAAAGAGACCCAGAACTGTTGAGCAGCTGAAATCCTGTGTCAAACAAGAATGGCAAAACATTTCACTTTCAAAACTACAGCAGTCGGTCTCCTCAGTTCCCAAATGCTTACAGAGTGTTGTTAAAAGAAGGTGATGATACATAATGGTAAACATGCCCCCGTCCCAACTTTTTTGGAACCTGTTGTTGGCATCAAATTCAAAATGGGCATGTATTTTTCAAAAACCTCTTCTAGGTAGCTCCACCTCTTGGGTTACAATACATTACGACCATGAATTCTGCTGTTTATAAGGACTTAAGATATGTGACAATTGAGACATAATCATATCAGTCAGTAAAGCGCTGCTTAACTAAAACTATGAGAATAACATTAAAATATAAAAAAAATAATAATAAAAAACTGTCAGCCAATATTATCACAGAGGAGGGCACTGAGATAATAAAAACAATATGCTTTTCAGAGCATATCATGGATATCATCAGTACTTAAAAAGAACTGACCGGCTACATTTTTCCTTAAAAAGGGAAAAAAATTAGTCCTGTTTAACTGACACATTATGATCCTTGCAAGCTGCTTAACAGAAATACTAACATCCATGTCATTCCCAACTCAGAGACCCCAAGCTACTTACATACTGGACACTACATAAGCCCTCTTGATATGTAAAACAATAGCAAAAGGTCCCATTGTCAAATTAATAAAGCACAGCAAGTTTCAGGATCCCTTCACAACCTCCACTGAGAGATTAAATTTAATACAAAGCGCTGAGATTTTGATGAAAGCTTTTAAAACAACGGAACATGATTGTTATTTGTTTCAGATGAAGACATATCAATTATAATATGCTTGTCCTGGTGTCAGGATAATGACAAAAGCCAACTCAGTACATCAAACACAGCGTGCAGCTGCTGTTTTCCAGTGCAGTGTGAGGCCTTCCAGACCCTGATTTTATCACAGTGAGTCAAATGAGTGATGTCTACACAGAATAAAACCACCTGGTGAGCAGCTTTCAAAGACAGGACCCCTTAAGGAAATGTCCACCAACAAGCATGTACTCAGTCTATTTATGCACACTCCCTGTTAAAACAAAAGATCCCTTCCTCACTCGTTAGTTAGACTCTCATCACGATGACACGTTGCATGCCCTATATGTCAGAAAAGTATTATCCACAGAGGAAAGAGGCTTTTCTGTTGCTAAATGTGACATACAGAATATTTCCTCCAAACTAACACCAATTATTCTCAATACATGCAGTCTATAACAAACCATTTTGGTTATACTCTAATTAGATCTCCCCTCTGCTTCTTCCAGTCTCTCTAAACAACTGTAAAATACTTGTTTAAGGCTGTAGGCCTCCTGAGCGTCACTTTCCCACACAGCCTTCTGTTTTCCCAGGTCAGCAGAGGCCAGAGTGTTCTGCAGTCTGTGCCTCTGACCTCAAGGCAGGAAGCTAGTTCAAACAACAAAACGGATGGAAAATCTCCATCGCAAGAAAAGCCCAAACAATGATTTTGGCAGAAACTGAGCCTCACCGTCTCCATGGCTACAGAGGTGCCGAGGTCGTGTTGGGAGCAGCAGGGGCCGGTCTTCCAGGCCTCCAAGTCCCCACAGTCACAGAAGCCTCCTCCTGATGACGCATGCATCTAGGAGATAAAACCAAAAGAGGCTGATGACTAGTAACAATTATACAACAACAAAACAGTCTCTCAAAGCTCAATTTACAATTTCACTACCAGATACAATCAGCTACAGCCACAGGAAGAAAGAGAATAATAAGAGCATGACTTACACTTTTAGATTACACACACTGAACCACAGTCAAAATAAACAAATCAATGGGATGTTTGTGTCATTCTTTTTAAAAAAAAATGTCTGAATTATAATAGTGGCTGATCAACATTCACAAAGTGCAAGTCTGTAAACATGTTTAATTATTAAGCTTGCAATTGGTTTCATAAATGTCTAGACCTGGGAATTAAAGATACGTTCATGCTTTTTAGATGTGCGTAAGAACTAAATAACCCAATTTTATTTTTTTTTATTTATAAAGCTGACCTTGTAGCGGTGTCCTTTGTGTACACTATTCTGAAAGCAGTCCATGCATAACACACAGGTGGGATCTATTGCACAATCCCTGCAATTAGATACAAAAAATAATTAAACAACTGAACTCATTCATACACATTCTGACCACAAATCATACCCAAATAATACATGAAGTAGATTTAAGAAATAGTGTCTTATTCTTATCAGGCTTTTCTAGGAGGTGCAAGGTTATATTTCACCAGACAAATGGAAAGAAAAGTGCACTCATATTTATAAAAGCTACTGCTGAAGGAGGCCTGTCTGCTTATAAATCATTACCCTATCTGACAAAATGTATGAAACACTGAAAAGCATATTTCATATAAAAACACCATTAGATGCATTTTTGGACCTTCTAACATTTCAGATGTGTTTTGAGATAATATATTTTGGATTGCTGAGCGGCATTACTGACATGATTATGCTGCAATGGGCTTATTATTATTAGTTGTTACCATTAAGGTTTTATGCTGAACAAAATCATAAACTACTATCATTTAAACTGAGCGTTTTCCAAACATTGACAAACACGCTAAAAACGTGCCTGTACATTTTCATTCGCCAAACATGTCAAGAACACTCATCACTACTTTTTAAAATATGCAAAGTAATTATACCAGAAATGTACTCATAAAAACTATGTTTTAGTTTCTATCGAGTTCAGACCATAAATAATAAGGAAACATTGGATCTCTAACCTGCAGGAATATACCGTCTCGCCCTCTTTAAAAACACGTCCACATTGCTGAGAGGATGAACCGTAATTTTTGTGTTCCAGTTTTTGTAGGCCAACACTTGGGTCCTCCCCAAAAAGGAAGCACTCCAGAGGGTGCAGGATGTGCTCCCGCACCTGTTGCTCTTCTTCTACAGGTTGTGGCTCAGCCTCCAGGCAATAAATATGCGGGACCTGCTCCACAATATAATGAAGTATTGCAGCTCCCCGGTCTGATGCCTCCCACCATCTCTGTAGGAAAAAGAAAGAGGCAAGTTTGTACGAAATGAACCACAAACATTTGCCAATTTCCTTGTAATGTTCGTTAGCAGGCATCATATTTCAGTGTAGGTTTAAACTGGTTTAAATACACTACATGTCCAAAAGAACTATTTAAAGATCCAACAAGCTCCATGAGTTGTCATGGTTCTATATAGACTATATGGCCAAAAGTATGTGGACGCCCTCCTAATTACTGAGTTCAGCCAATACCCATTGCTAACAGGTCGATAAAATCAGACACACTGCCTTGCAACCTCAACTGACAAACAATGGCAGTAAACACTGAAGACCTTAGTGACTTTAGACACAGCACTGTCATCTTTGCCACAAGTTTGTGAAATTTCGGTCCTGCTAAATCTACCCCAGTCAACTGTAAGTGCTATTATTGTAAAATGAGGTGTCTAGGAGTAACAATACCTCACAAAGCAGGTCTGGCAAATGGCATTAGAACACTACTTGCCGGAATGTACAGTGCCAACAGTGAAGTTTGGAGGAGGAGGGATGATCTGAGGCTGTTTTTCAGGTTTTGGGCTAGTCCCCTTAGCTCCAGTGAAGGATAAAGTTAATGCTACAACATACAAAGGCATTTCAGACAGTTATATGCTTCTAACTTTGTGGCAACAGTTTGCGGAAGGCCCTTTCCTGTTTCAGCATTACTGTACCTAGTGCACAAAACGAGCTCCATAAAGACATGGTTTGACGAGTCTGGTGCGGAGGTACTCCAGTGACGTGTACAGAGCCCTGACCTCAGCCTCAACCAACAGACACCTTTGGGATGAACTGAAACATCCACCACAAGCCAGGCCTTCTCATCCAACATCACTGCCTGACTTAACAAAAATTAAATGGGCACAAATTCCCACAGACACACTTCAAAATGTTGTGGAAAGGCTTCAGAGACGAGTGGAGGCTGTCAGAGCTGCAAAGGGGGGGGGGGTTTGGGAACATACACGTTAATCCCCATGGTTTTGTACTGGGATGTCCAACAAGCTCATATAGGTGCTATGTATAGGTGTCCACATACTTTTGGATACATACTGTATACCTGGTGCCTAAATAAACCATGCACATTTGGTGGAAACTATTCAGAATCTTGCTGTTAGATATTTCCAACCATATTCTTTTCCTCAAATGAAGAGGATAACAGGCTGTATATGCAGTGCCGTGTGTCAGGCCATTAGAATACTCTGTATGCCCAAGTTTGCAAATGTGTTCTGCCTATTGAGCCAGGAACTCAAGCTTTTAGCTTAATGGTTAGAATGTATCTTTCTCTGAATGCCAATTGAGACAAGGTCTATTAAGATGATGGCATGACCTGGATGAAAGTGCAGGAGTTAGAGCAGTGCTCTATTATGTTTATATTATGGATGCCCAAAGCTCTGCTACAGTGGCTCCGTTTCTCTTTATCCTCTTCATGTTCTGTCTTAGACTGTTGCCATTAACAAGTAGACGATGATTGAAACTTCCCTTGTAACAAGAGAAAATACTACAGTGAAAAGTACTTGAACTTAATTGGAAGTCATTTAACTGTATTAAATTATGTCCATGTGTGAAATTATTATCAGAAAAACGTGATGTAAAGAATTAGCAAAGTGGAAAAAAGGACATAAGGAACTACTAAGGACAGTTACAGAAATTAGGCCTACATTATGACAAAACAACTTCTAGTCCTCTCAAAAGAAATGCTCTAATAAATCTGGCTGAAAGTATTGGAAAAAAAAAAATCAACAATTCATTCTTCTATAAAACTACAAACACCAGATGAAAAAGAAATGGTTTGTTATCCCAACATTCTTACGTGTTAATCAGATTTTCTTCCTTCCATTTCATAGAATTACAGAAGAAATCACTAACTTGTCATTACAGGCCCATAAAGAGCAGCTGGGATGAGTAACTAAACTGTTATGTGAATCTTAACAGGAGGTGCTCTAACAATTTGTCCTGACAAACATGCACATACAATCAGTATAGCGTAGTAACTTGTTCCAAATGTTTTGTGTTTTTAATGTTAGTTCAGGGCAGATTCAGCTCAAAATTACCCCCTGATAAAGTGATTTAGGACATTAAAATTCTAATTATACTTTTAATGCTGGTAACGTTTTCTGATACGGAGATTTATCCTACCTAGACAATTCAATGCTGGAAGGCTATCAAAATACCTTAACTGCAGTCTTGCTGCTGGTAGGTTAGCATTTTCTGACACGGTGATTTAAACGATCAAATAGCTATTCCCAGGTTTTTAGAGTGCTAACGTTACTTACAAATAATGCGCTACGGCAGGACATTCCGACAAGATAAATTCAATATTAGATGCGAGTTGTTAATTAAAAATGTTATCCAGATTGCTAACTCATCTTCCCTGCTGGCGTTAGTTAGGTAACTGTTTAGATGTTGAAAGAGATGTTGCTTCATAGTCACGCTAAACCTGAACCCGAACCTGAGCCAAGGTTTACAGGATGTATCGTTAGCGCCTTTCCCTTTTTAACGCAATGCTAGCTCGTGTATGATGCTTGTTATTCGCTTGCGTTAACGGCAAAAGCCTCACAAGCGTAGTTATAAAGTACGGCTAGCCAGCGACTGAGCTACCTGCGTCGTTAACGTAACTGCTCTGCCTAGTCTACTCCCGCTAGCTAGCTAACAAAAATGTTAGCATTAATGTAACGTTAGCTGTTTACCGAGAAGCCGTGAACGAAAACAGTGCCGACAGACGTTCACGCCGCACAAACCAGCCTAGTAATACCACCGCGTTACGGCAAACACGGCGCTACGCTGAGATGAACGCACAAACGCGCGATTTAACGGGTAGAAACTGTGAAAGGCCAATGTTTACCGTGCACAGCTGCAGCCCGTTTACCGAGCTCTCCCCATCCGCCATGTTCACTACGGCGCGCGATGTGACCACGGTAACGCACGCGACCTGAACTGAATTCGACTTGCGACAGTCAGGGAAAGACGGCTGGTCCTGGGATGCCAGAAATCTGTGACCAAATCCCCTTGTGAGAGAGCTCCAATTTACAGGGATGGTGATATTTCTAATAAACGCTAAAATACTAAAATAAAAAAATACTTTCTAGTTAAACATTTTGGAAAAAAATCTGTGTAACTTCAAAATGGTTAGATTTCTGTGTTTTTGTATTTTTTAAAGAGCTGACAGTTTTGTCCTTACAAAACCTGATTTTGAGGTGGTGTTCACAAAACATCTCCATTCAGGAGTGGGGTTTCTTTTTTATCTGGTGCTGGATCTGCTGTTATTTTTCAGATGTTTTGTGAATATCACCCGAGAAGGGGAATTTTATTGTGGGTATTAGCGTCATAACACCGATAGCGCCCTCTCTCGGAGAACAGTCTGCATAAGTGCTCCCAGTTATTTTCCTAAGCATGCCAGCAAGCAAATGGAAGGTAAAGCGGGAATTGGGTGTTGACCCTTTTCTGTTCAATGCGTCCTTCTAATTGTATCCATGCAAGGGCATAGCTTTTTGAGAGCTATGCCAAGTAGAGAAACAAAACAAAATATACATTTATATTACATATGAATTTATAATGTAAATACATTTCACATAGTAATGCATACTCCACATAAATGTATAGAACACAGATATGTGCTACATTCTTTAGATATATACTACATAAAAATGTGTATTAAATACTACAAAGCCCAATACATAATAATACATACCACAGTTCATACATGCAAACTACTGATTCACACTACATTGTATATACACATCCTATGCATACTACATACTAAGAGAGACATACTGCATATTGCGTAATAATGCATACATTCTAAAGATGCATACTGCTTACAAATGTATGTATATCTGCAACTACATGTTTCATTTGCATATAGACTCACCGAGTACTTTATTAGGAACACCATACTAATACTGGGTAGGGTCTCCCTTTGCTCTCAAAACAGCCTCAATTTTTATGGGTATAGATTCCAAAAGATGTTGGAAACATACCTTTATGATTCTGGTCCATGTTAACAGGATTGCATCATGCAGTTCCTGTAGACTGTTCATCGGCGAATCCCCTGTTCCACCACATCCTAAAGGTATTCTACTGGATTCAGATCTGGTTGCTGGGAAGGTCACTGAACACTGAACTCATTGTCATGTTCATGAAACCAGTTTGAGATGACTTTTGCTTTGTGACATGGTGCATTATCATGCTGGAAGTAGCCATTAGAAGTTGGGTGAACTTTGGCCATGAAAAGATGCATCTGGTCAGCAACAATACTCAAATAGGCTGTGGCATTCAAGTAAAGATTGATTGATATTAACAGGCCCAAAATGTTCAATGAAAATGTTTCCCACACCATTACACCACCTCCACCAGCCTGGACTGTTGACACAAGGCAGGTTGGGTCAAAGAATTCATGTGCCAAATTCTGACTTTACCTGTCCAGTTTTGGTGAGCCTGTGCTCACTGCAGCCTCAGCTTTCTGTTCTTGGCATACAGAAGTGGAACCTGACATGGTCTTCTGCTGTTGTAGCCCATACAACCTTAAATGCCTCAAGATTCAAAGTGTTGTGCATTCTGAGATGCTTTTCTGCTCACCACAATTGTACTGAATGGTTAACTGAGCTACCGTAGCCTTTCTGTCAGCTCAGTTGTTGATGGTAACATGCAATAAAGATCTTCCTGATTTCTAATATTAAAATTCTACTAAAACTATCTGCCGTCAGTCCTCTTTCCTCTACGGATCAATGGTAGATGTTAACGAACAGTCATAACACATAGATAACATGTTAACATGCTAATAATGTTACTGTCAGCTTACAGCAGCTTCAGTGTATTATACTATTTATTCACACATGTAATCTATTGCTCACTCTGCACACAGTCAGTATTTTCACTCCAATTTCACCTGAGCCTTTCCACAGCTTTTGAATATCTTGTTCAGCTGTTGGAAGCTGACAGCCACTGGAAATAAATGCTGGAGCTTTAAGCACAAGAAGAAAATATATAAAGAAATCTATACATATGGTCACTCACTTCCACAAGAGTTTATGACCACACAAGGGAAGGAAGTGCAGATTCTACTGCAAAGTTAGGGGTTGATCAGTCATCTTGTTCTCAATAACTGGTAACATTTTTTCAAATGAAGGAGGAAACGTCCACTTGCTGACCTCCATTTGAATGTGAAGAAAGTATCAAACAAACAAACAAACAAACAAACAAACAAACAAATAAATAAATAAAACAAGCCATTTCAAAACAGAGGAAACCACTTTAAAAGCATCTCAGTTTGAAGCTGCTTGTGGATCCTTGTGGTATTGTACCCATTCAGTTCATTAGAAAGATTTTACCCATAAACATCCAGTCTAAATCCCTAAATTCAATATTTGGGTAAGATTATAGGTTTCTGTCACATAATTGCTCTGGAAAGTGGTTCTTTTTGATTGGAACAAGCAATTTTATTATTATGTTATTATATATATTTATATATATATATATATATATATATATATATATATATATATATATGTTTCTAACAGACAATAACATTAATTTCTAGTCATTTTTAAGTTATATCTCTGATTACAGTTAGCTGTTGATGTTCTGTGTTGTCATTTCAAAATGTGTGCTCGGTCTGGTTCCGCTGCTAAAGATTGTATTTATAACCTTTTGCAAATACATACAAAAATTGTGAAATTTATGTATGTTACCTTCTTAGTTCTCTTCCCTGGTCATATTAGGCATGATTCATCATATGTCATGTAATATCATATCATTTAAAAGACAAAAGATTTGTTTCTCCATAACCTTTGATTAAAGTGTCATGACTTTTACCCAAGAGCGGCATGGTGTCGCAGTGGGTAGCGCTGTCGCCTCACAGCAAGAAGGGCCTGGGTTCGATTCCCAGCTGGGTGACCAGGGTCATTTCTGTGTGGAGTTTGCATGTTCTCCCTGTGTCTGCGTGGGTTTCCTCCGAGTACTCCGGTTTCCTCCCACAGCCCAAAAACATGCAGTCAGGCCAATTGGATGTGCTAAATTGCCCCTAGGTGTGAATGTGTATGTCTGTCTGTCTGCCCTGCGATGGACTGGCGACCCGTCCAGGGTGTATCCTGCCTTCCGCCCAATGACAGCTGGGATAGGCTCCAGCACCCCACCGCGACCCAGAAGGATAAGCGGTTTAGATGATGGATGGATGGATGGATGGACTTTTACCCTCTTCTGAAACTTCTTTTGATTTGTTTATTATGTCAGCATGCACCAGTGGATGAGAAAAATAATATTAACAAGTAATATCATGTTTCACCGCCCCCTCCCACCACATCCCACTTATCACCTAGCTCAGAGACCCTCCCTGATACTGTGTTTCTCTCTGAATTACATTTACAGTACGGAAGAAAAATGCGGTATGATTTACGATTCATGTTGACTTTAAACCATATGTGGTCTTTTTTCATTATGGAACAGAATGGAGAATACTCTAGACTTCTGCCTTCTGCTTAAAAGGGAATTACACAGATTTTTCAAAATTTCTGCATAGTTCAATGATTGAGATGTAAACAAAGTCATTCAGAGTGGTTTGCTGTGAAATGGTTAATTGATGAGAAAGGTACTGACTCAGATTTCTTTACAGTGATGGTGGCAGGAAAAAGGAGCCATTTTTTTACTATCCAAAATCACCAGTGGACCTACATATGTCTTATGATAATAGTGGTAAATATGAAAAAAAAAAAAAATCTTTGTGAACTGTTTTGTCTTACAACATCCTGCATGTACCTCTCTGCCATGAATGTATTGTTTAAATAGAATGTTTAAAGCCAATACCTTCTCAAGGCAAAACAATGTCTCAGACATCAGGCAGCTTATTTATAACCATTTCATGTAATAATGTTCTCAGAGGCATCCATTTTTTTCAGACACGGTTCCTGTCACCACCACTGTGAACAATTTTGAATCAGTAAGTTTCTCTAGAATTTTACATTTTACAGCAAATAATTCTTAATGACTTTGTTTGCATCTTAAGCATTGAATTATGCAGAAATTAAAAAAAAAAAAAGTGAAATTCCCCTTTAAGGTTCCATATTTTATATTTTTCTTGTTTCCCCTTAAGTCCATACATGACATTTGAGTGGGTTTGTATACCGATAACAACCACTTTCCAAACTCCTCTCTATCTCTTATAATTAGACAGACTGTTTTTGTTACTGTACCATTAAGACTGATATATGTAATTGATCTCTGTTCTTATTGGCTACCGTGCACTGTGCCTTGTTCAAAAAGCAATGTGGGCTGAAACGCTCCTGATAGCTCCGTATCAAAAGCTAGAAAGGCTTGTCCTCAGTAGGCTCATCATTTGTATTAGAATGGTCTACCAAGGCAGCCTTGTTACTTAATTGGAAGGAGTCAACATGTAATGTGGTGGGAACAATACTGTTGATTTGATTGATACAAAACATTTATGTGAATGACGTAATATGGCAAGCAAAACATTATTGGCTTGTAATTGCATGCTATCCTGAAAGCTAAAAATTGTTCAATTTGCTAAAAGCAGGTGTTTTTCATAACCTTTGTTCAATTTACACTCTCTAAAATAAAACAGATGCACATCGAAAGAAATACAGTAACCAAAATAGTTCTTGTACGTTTCATATATATATATATATATATATATATATATATATATATATATATATATATATATATATATAAATCGTATGGACTGAGCAGTGTATTGGACATTTTGAAATTTAGTTAGTTAAAAGTTTGCATCAAACTCTTACAGACAAAGCAACGAAAACTCCATTATATTAGATCTTTACAGCTGTGCTGAAAGTGGTGGATTCGACACTGGACTTTACGTTTGAAATGCGAGGTAACCGGAAGTTGATGAGGATACGAATGAGAGAGCAGTGGACGCTGTTTGCGGCAGTCCTGGAGTAAAGTCCTTCATTCTTGTGGATCTCAGAACAACTCCTTAAAACATGGTTAGTTATTAAGATTCACTTTTTAAAATACATTCGTTCATGATGCACGATTAGACTAGGTTAGATTTTCAGTGTCATTACAAATCAACCCTTTAAGAACGATAATGTACGTTAGGAAGCTTACGTAGTTAGCTAGCTAACAAGCTAATGTTGGCCCGTAAATGTACGAGGCTGAAGTCGCTTCTTATTCGCCAGCTTCTTGTTCGACCTCTCCCGTTCCACCTTAAAAAGGTGCAGCAGTAGTGTTCTGGCGCTTCTGGTGCTAAAATGCAATTGCTCCACCATTTAAGGTGGAACGGGAAATTTCGAATAGGAAGTTGACTTCAGCTTCGTCGTAAATGTTGTCTGGTTAAAAGATGCACAGTTTTGTAATAACTGAGCGTCGTAGAAGCACACATTTTGCATGTTTGCTAATATAATTTAGATGAAATAGATAACTGTTAGCTAAAATAAGGAAGGTTTAGTTAACTAGTAACTTTACTTGAACGGCTTGGACAAGTTGCTAATTTATGTGGAGTTGTATTTTTTTTCTGGGGATCGATATAGTCGTCTACAATCTAAACTTTTTTTTTTTTATTTCAGTCTCACACTATTCTTCTGGTTCAGCCCACCAAGAGGCCAGAAGGGAGAACATACGCTGATTATGAATCAGTGAATGAGTGTATGGAAGGTAAATAAACGCAGCTTTCCAGTTTATCTTCACCATAACACCAAATTTAGCAGAATTTGTGATCTGATTATTTTTACACTTTATATCATCAGGTGTAGTGATGTAGTGTTATAAATTAATCTTGTTTTCGTTAAAATGGCCTCTGGTTATATGCCACTGAATGATTAAAGTAACCATTTGTTGATAATATTGAAATAAGGACAGGCGTGTAGTAACCCTGTAGATAACTTGTATGTTAATGTCAAATGTTTTGTTTGTCAGGTGTTTGTAAAATGTATGAAGAACACTTGAAGAGAATGAATCCCAACAGTCCGTCAATCACATATGATATTAGTCAGCTGTTTGACTTCATCGATGATTTGGCAGACCTCAGTTGCTTGGTGTAAGTAGGCTTTCTGTCTTGTCTTAATAAATGCTTTGGAAAAAAATAGGCAATAGGTCAATGGTAAATTTATATCAGTTTCATTCCATATAAATCAAAGTGGGATGTGGGATAGACAGTTGACTAAAAGTGTCCAGGATCCTGAATGAAAGGCATCAGGCTGTAATCATTGCAGTAAGGCTGTACCGAAATATCAGCTGGCCAATAATATGCACTGATGTTGAGGTTCTGTGGATTTTTCGGTATTGACAAAAATCCCAGAGATGTAGTACCAATATTTAATGGCTTGTTTTATAATGTAACAAACAAGCCTCTGATCTGAATTCATCATTTTCTCTTTTCCATTATGGAGAAACAAACTACACTGGTAGATTTAAACATAACACCATCATTGTTTAATGACAAAAACATAAAATGCATCCAAACTTAACCTTTAGCATGAGCGTAACATAACACAAATTCTATGACTTATTTAATTAATTAACACAAGCACTAATTAGCAGAAACCAATAAACTCAAAAAAATTCTAGTGTTCTGTCTCCCATTTTACATTATATAGAGGTTGGAAGTTATTGCTTTTTTTGTTGTTGTTGTCTTCTTTGACCGTATTGTATTACTCAGCATCATTTATCGGAACTTTTAACTTCTTAAATCGGCATTGGTATCAGTCGCACATTCTTATAGCAGTCTGGTCCTGCATTCAGCAGTGACATAGCTGCTCATGTACATGGCTATGAAGTGATCAAGCAGGTCTGTTCTGGGCAGGTCCTGTCCAGAGAACGAGAGGAGCAACAGCAGTGGTACCGTGGCAGGATCACTACAGCGAAGGTGGCTAGACTTGTTCAGGCAGTAATATAAGTATGTATATAGCTTGACAAAGAGACATTTGAGTCACTCCACTCCACCATCAACAAATCTGAGCATGCAAGTGTGGCAGGACAACAGCACCAACACCTCAATTCACTGCCATTGTGAACAAGAAGAGTCTGAGTCTACTGACCCCAAACAAGATTTTCTTGCAGTTCTAGTGGAATGGTTTTGTCTGTGGTGTCGTATGCCACAGTAAGAAAAGAAAATTATTGATTTCTATGCACATAATTGCTTACCTGCTGAGATGCAGCTTTGTATAGAACCCTAGAGGTAAAAAAGAAGGCTTGAAATTGACATAGTTGGATAACAGAGATTATGTTTAGGTTTCTTAATCAAAGGTTTGATACATTTTTAAGAGATAAGCTTTTATTGTTACCAGAGTTATGGTTGCATTTCTTTAAGTACACTTATAGCTGTTGAGTCAGGTATACAAAGATTTTGATGAGGTGTTTATTATGTAAGTCAGCTGAATTCGGGGTTTCCAGCATTGGTTGTGTTAGGTACATAATTGGCTGAAGTTACGTGCAGGACAAGCTTTTTCTGCTTAATATTTTCTGTCTGATGAGGACAAAATTATACATTAAATGTATCACAAAAAGTGTCTCATATCACTCAGTCACTTGATCAAGTTGCACATTTTTATAGTCAGTAACTCTATGAAGTTGTCAATAAAACCAGTCAGAGTCGCTGAGATGATGTTGTACTTCATACATCATGACTCAGGTGCAGTTTGAACAAGAATGAGGTAATAATCTGAACTAAATTTAGTCTGCAGGTAAATAGCTGTTATCTATGTTCATACTAAAAGTCAATATTAAATCTTGGGTACAACTGTGGTAGTGAGAGGACCCTATTACATTCTGAGTGATACCAACAGAATCTATCAAAGACACAAATGCTGTTCTCAGTAGGTTGCTAGTTCTTAGTTAATGGCTAGTTATAGTGAAGGGTAATCATTGAGAAAGTTTCCTACATGAGGCTAAATTTGTTATATTTAGAAAAAGCATTTCAGACTAATGAGTTAAATGTATATATTGGATGTATTTGAATAATGCCTTGACCAATGTACTAAATAGTTGCTATGTGATCAGGGACGTAAACTCATTCAAAGCTATGTATTCCTTAGGTGTGATCCAAATGTTTGTGAGCCACAGTGCACTAAAACCCGAGCGGTAATAAGTTTATTTACAATGAGGACCATCACAATTATTATGTAATCGCCTGATTGCAATGATTTGCACTAATTGCAGTTATTTAATGCTGACCATACACTACAAGACTTTGAGAAGAATTTGTAAAGACTTTTGAAGACTATGATGTTGCAAAGACCGGGAATCTTGCAGGGTCACTATTTACAAGACTGCAACTAGGGTTTTGAGTTTATTTCCCATCATGGACCCCTTTACAAGCAGATAAACCCTTTCCTTCCACTGTATAGTGGTACAGATGGGAAAATACGCTGGCTGGACATGTAAAGATCTGGGACTCTGGGACTGGGAATTTTACTAATTAACCTGTAAAATGTACAGTTACTTTTTTTTATTTAACATGAAGATTTACACATCAACAAAACATGCAGCGATTCAGCCTTGTTGATTAGGTGTTATGAACCAAACCATAAGAAACATAATAAGAAACCAGTGTAACAGGAAGCAAAAAACAAACAAAAAAAAACATTGATGCTTCTTCAGTAATGTAAGCCACATTTCCTTACATCACTGTTAAAGGCTCAGTGAACTTGAAATATTAAAGCCAGTTTACATTTTTAGGTTAATATGATCGTTGCTCTGATGCATGCATTTTCACCCTTGCTCTCTCTTTCTCTCTTGCTCTATCACGCTGCGCGCATGCGCTTGCCCACTTGCTCTTAGGCGCGCCCCTGGCACGTCACTATTTACATGAGCCAAGACTTAAAACTTACAATAATATTAAACACGGTTGATTTTGTGGTAGCGTCAAGACGTAAAAAAGACTGCCTTAAAACAGCCATCCTGACCACCTCACACCAAACACCTCGCACAAGATGACGTGAGCACGACGCAACTCTATCAAAATCTCATGATTTTATTCCAACATTGGAAATTTGTCTGCGACAAGTGAAATCGCTTGAAAAGTCGTTTGGTGTAAGGCCGGCATAAGCTGCCTGCAGTTTTTTCCACAGTTGTTTGCCTTTGCAATCATATGTTTATGTTGCAGCAAACAGAGAATAAGACCTTAAGAGGGCAGCAATGAGTAATGATGGTTTATTTTAGCTGGAGCTATGTTTTTTGTCATTTGGGAGCTATTGGGGACCACTAGGAGTTGATCTGCCAATTTGACCACTTTAGGCTTACGCTTTAGTAATTGCATACAATGAACAGAAAAAGCCAATTCAGTTGTTAATCACAATTATATATGTGTGGCAATTAATCATTGGCTAAAATTTCATGTTCGTGGTAGGCCTATGTACAGTGATTGCTGTAGATGTGGGGGATATTATGTTTAGCAGACTTGCTAATTTGATGAGCTCATTTGATACAAATTATGTTGTTAAAACTTGTATCTTGTTTTACTCGAGAAATAGACTCAGTCCTGTGGAACCTATGTGATGTCTCAAAGCAGCTAGTGGATGGTTGGTTTAGTCATGTTGTCTGCAGCATGGCCTTGGCTTAAAATTGTTAACATAACCTTTGTTTTATAGGAACTGGCAAACCATTGTAACTTCAGCGTTGCTTTGTCAGGTCGTTCCTTGATTTACTTCAGAGCTGTGGTGGCTTGATTGAACCCTCTGGATCTGAAGCAGTCTTGAACAATTATTCAAGATATAAATAACAAATACAAATAACAAATAGAACAAATAACTGTATTTGATTCTCAGGCTTTTTGAACACCAACATTTTCTAGTTAAGAAAATACTGTGTACCCTTTCCAAATAAAATACATAGATTCTGGGGAAATGTCACTGACTTGTAATTTGTTAGCAAAAGCTGTGTGTAATTACAGCTGTCATGGGCCTTTGGTAGTGTCAAGCTTTGTAGGCCTTTAGTTTGCATTTTCAATTTGCTCGTCAGGCTCTTAGCCCAGAGATTTTGACACTGAGCATATTTCAGTGAATTAAAAACTTGGATACGTGACACAGGTTATTCACTCTGTTTTTGTCTTCTTTCTCTTAGGTACCGTGCAGACACACAGACGTATCAGCCCAACAACAAAGACTGGATTAAGGAGAAAATTTATGTTTTGTTACGTCGACAAGCTCAGCAGGCTGGGAAATAAAATAGTTGTACAAGTTACCCTTGTGTGCTGATCAGACATAAGCTTTGCATTTCAGGGATTTGCTGGGGAGTTTGTATTAGATGAGTCTAAAGAGGAATATGTGCTAAGAACCTTGGGGCAGGGTTGTGAGTCAAAGATTTAGAGCAGTGGTTCTCAGTCATAGTCTTGCAATCCTGAGTGACCACTACATTTTTGTCCATGGGAATAAAAGTTGGAGCAAGGAAAACCATGATGCTGATGTGCCCAACCTTGTTCCTGAAGGTCTACTGGCCTGTATTAGTGCCAAACTAATTTACCAGTCTAATTTACCTGGACTCAGTATGCAGTGTTAGAACTCTGTCCAGTCCTGGAGAGCCACAGTCCAGTACGATTTGGTGATTTTCCTACTCTAAAATGCCAGCTAAACCTGGTAAATAACAGATGAGTTGAATCAGGTTTGTTAGAGCAGGAAAAGCACCAAACTGAGCTGTCTTTAGCCTGCTGGTTCCAAATTGATGACCCCTGCTCTAGTGGCTGGGCTTCAGCCTTCTAAACTGTGTATATTGCAGGAGTTCCCAGGACTATGATTGACAACCAGTGGTCTAGATAAAGTTGTGAATTGAATACTGTGGAAGAACATGTATTGTACTGTACATTAGTTGTTTATTAAATCAATTATTTGACATTTTCCTCTTTGCCTTAGGTTGACATTTCATAAGTAAATGTCTGACACATTTTTCCTTGTACTGAATTATAATAAAATGGTTCACATTGGTACTTTTTGTTGTAATGAACAGATTAGTAGCTAAAGCCTTGTTTGGGTAGATGAGGGGGAAAAAACAGGAAACATAACAAACAAACATTTTTTTTTAAATTAGGATAACTGATTTTAAATTAATCTTCATAATGTGCCTGAAAAATAGCATGCTGTGTTCATATATTTTATACTCAATGTTCAGCCCCATGAAGTGCTGTAGAAAGAGGAAATGTGCCAGTTTAATTATTATTTTATAAGCTTAAACTTACAGTGAAAACTATCTGTGGTGATTTTATTTTACTCATCTCAGCTGTTAACTTTTTTTGTTTGTTTTACTTATGCTTTTTTTATACTTTTTTTTGTGATGCTCATTTTTAATAATTTTCCTTAACTTTTCCTCAAACAATTATGCAAACTAAAATCAGGTTTAGAAAAATTACAGAGTAATTATACTTAGGTGAAAGAATGAGTTTTGTATCTAAACCTTACTCTATTGAGAGTGGAAGAGTGGACCCAAAAACATACTTGAGTGAAAGTAGAAAACAATCTATATTTAAAACATACTCAAGTATATGAAATAGAAAGTAAATGTTTTAATGAAATAAATTTGGTAGTATGGGATGCAGTAATTAATAGTACAAACAGTTGGAAATGTAATTTAGTAAAAATACAAGTGTTCGATTTCAAATGATACAGAAGAACAAACCTTCCTTGATACATAATATAGTAACAATATTTACCGCTACTGACTATTTGGGGAAAATGGGCAGTGTTTTATTTTAATATATAGTTATTCCATTTAGATATATATATATAAATTATGTTTCACAAAAAATAAATCACCTTTCTAAACCGTGTATTGCGGTTGAAGAGAGGATGAATCGCGCCTTCTCTCCCCTGAACAGACTCTCATATGTGCTTGTAAGGTCGCGCCTCATTTGCATAATGTCACAGCAGCGCGGCGTCTGCGTTTTGCACGAGCGCTATTTTTGAAGTTTTGTTTTTTCCCTCTTTTTTTCTCTCCCCGTTTGGATCGCTGGAGTAGAGAGCAGCGCGCGCGCCGCTTCTGCTGCCTTCACGAGCCCAGCGCGCGACGCCTGATGGAGAGACCAATCGCGCGCCGCTCCGATTTTTTTTCCACCTTTGTGTTTCTCTCCCCCAGCCCAGTCTCCCCCTCCCTCCCTCCCACCCTCAGCATCTCTAAAGGCTACTGAGTGAGAATCGATGGCGCAGAGGCCCGCCTGACAGGACAATAAAACCACAAAGAAGCGGTGAGTGGGGTTTACTCTTTTCCCTCTCCCTCTCTCTCGCTCTCTCCGTCCTTCGCCTTACAAGTTATGGTAGGAAAGAAATAGCTGGCGGGGAGGCGAGAGAGGGAGAGAGGGGGCTCGGCGGCGGCGCCCCGGCGTGCGGGCTGAAATTCACAGCGGATTCTGAACAGCTGCCTTTTAACGAAGCCGAAGTCAGATTCTTATTACAATTTTCCTGTTCCACCTTAAATGGTGCAGCAGTTACGTTCAGGCGCCAGAATGTAACTGCTGCACAATTTAAGGTGGAACGGGCAAATTCGAACGAGAAGCTGGCGAATAGGACGCTGACTTCAGCCTCGTTGCCTTTTGTTGGTGTGAGGTAACATAGCGGTTCGCTCTCAGTGCTTTTTCTCCCTTCAAGACATGAGCTGCATCCCAGCGCTAAGCTAAGCCGAGGAGCCTCGGCGTGTTATGCTAGCGCACAGCACCGCGTCGTTTCGTGAAGCTGGTACTGAGGGGGTGTTGGGGTACACAAACGGTGAAAATCACTTTCTGAATGATGTTATTAGGGTCTCAAACAGTTTCCCTCTGGGTCTGGCCGTTCATTGTGCGCTGCGGCATACACACACACACGCCGTCAAGGGTCTCGGCTCGAATGCGGCGGCGGCGGCGTGAACAACAATGTGACGGGGGTTAGCTGAGGAGGAGGTCTGAGGAGGTTTTGCTTGGCTGAATGGACCTCCCTTGGAAGAAAAACACGACAGGCAGACACAACAAGGAGCTGCAGTCTGCGTGGTGGTTCACAGCCCTGGGTTTTAATGGAAGGTTTAATAGTGCCCCCCCTCCTTCGTTCCCCACAAGACGAGTGGAGAAATGCCCTCAGTGTTCACAGGCCAGTGTGGAGAACGGAGGGAGGGAGCGAGTGGTTCTCCAGAATGTCATGGAGAACGCAGAGTGCATCCTTCTCATATTATTATCGCAAGCCGATCCTGGGCTACATTATAGCCTAACAAGACTGTTGACTAATAGACTATTTACTGCCTTGTGAACCACGATGCCAAATCTGAAGGTCGCTGATATTAATAAGGTGTCAGTTATCTCATCTGCGTAGGCAACATGAGTCACATGATACTGTCTGCTAACCATGCTCATCAGTGAGTGCCGATTTTTAGGTGGATGGGCACTTTTGCTCGCGTTAATGACTTTGTGTAAATCCCCCTTGGCCTTCTTTACAGCGAGAAGATCGTGATGTACCTGCTGTGGGAGTACAAAGCCCCCTACCTAACCCTAACGGCCTGGCCTGGGTCCAGAGCCAGTCCCTGAAGTGTGAACATGAGGCGCCCACCTACTCTCTCTCCTTGCTCTTAATGGAGCCCCAGTCTCGTGAAGTAAGCCCGCATGTACTTCACACCTTGCTACCTCTAAGCTCTTATCTTCATACAGGATTAAAGGTTATTATGCTAGAGAAAAATGGGGTTGATAAGGAACACTATAGATGGAATTTATGTAGGCTGGAAAATTGATGACACACAGAAAAAAGATTTACTGACCGGTGATATATTTTTATTTCCCTGTCTCTACTGATTTTGGGGATTTCACACCGCTGCTTTATTTCACTTGGTAAACTTGATAACATGTCCTTGACTCATTGAGATATGACAGGGAGTTATGTGAAACGGTGGTATGGGTTTTTCATTGTAAATTCATCATGAATTGTATGTGTAGACAGGTTTTGCTATGGTCTGTGATGTTTCTAACTAAGTTATGTTTTCTGCATCATTCACATATGCTTCAGTTGAAATGGAAGATGAAGATGGGACATGTTTACTTGATGTGTTGTGGTAAGTGCTACGCAGGAGTTGGAACGTCTTTATCCAATGACACCTTTTACCATGCAGGATTGTCTAACCCTTCACTGTAGTCAGACCTCATTAAATCAAATAATTTAATTTGATACTAGGTGTGTAATGATGCATTAAGCCCACAATTCATTTGGATTCACAATTCTGGGTTCACAAATGTATTCTCATGATATTACAACAATAACAAAATTCGAATTAAGAAAAATGATGACTGTAGTCATATTGTTGTACAACTTACTAATGACACTACAGCTGGAATATCAGAAGAAGGGCTGGAGTGAGTTGTTGATTGGTGCTAATTGTTTGCAAACTTTGGTGCCGAAACAATGCAGTTCCAGTAGATGGCATAATTAACAGAATGTCAGTTCTCCATGATGCATTGTAACATCTCCACGATGCACATGCCATAGCTTTGCATAGCGATATCACAATGTCATGATGTATTGTTAACCCCCATTTAATATTAACAATGTGCTAATACACTAAGACGAGTCCTGGTTCTTCTAGCAAAATTTGTGATGACTGATTTGTGCTTCTGTCTGTGTTTTAAAGTGATCCACAAGCTCTGAATGACTTCCTTCATGGAACAAAAGAGGTACATCTCGCTTGCAACAAAAATTTTAGCTCATTTTTAGTATAATTTAACTAATGGGTGTTATTCTAGCTGTTACTCCATTTATGATCGATTAATTAACATGTGAAAGGCATGAAAATAATCTAAATAAAAAATCTAATTTAACAGTGTCATTATAGGAACTTTAATCAAAAACCTGGCTGAAATCTTTTGAAATGGTTACTGTTTGTGTGTGAGAGAGCATATTTGAGAAATAGATGAAAGAGTCCTGTAAACCCTCCCTGCAATTAGCTATCTCTCCTCCCCTCTGTTCAAGCAGCTGCTGAGTGGAGACCTGCTCATTAATTCCTCCTCTGGGGAGCCATCCCTGTTCACAGACACCCCGGTGAGTCTGGGCCTCTGTCTCTATGGAGGACATGGTAGATAAGGAAGATTTTACTAGTACTAGCTCAGCATCACCTGTCTATCTGACTGTTTCTTCTAAAACCACCTGCTGGTAATTTGGTTACTACTGAGAATTATAGTACTCTAATCAGCAGTTTCAAAGAAAGCTCACTCTCTGTCATCCTCTCATGACTTATTGTGTATCCACGTATCTCAGCTTATTAATTGTTCTCTCTTTTCTCTCTCCAGAGCCCTGTGTCTTTATTGGCAGATGATGCTGGTTCTCATGACACGCCTGCCTCAGGCTGTGTGGATCTCTCCTTCCTGGATGAGGCCTTGCTGGCCTCACCAACTGGAGAAGAAGATTCAGACGAGCCACATGATGCCTTAGAAGTACAGGCAGAGGTACCGCTGCAGCAGCCACAGCAGCAGGAGCAGGAGGATAAGCAGGAGGAGGAGACCTGTGACATTTTGCAACAAAGTCTCCAAGAGGCTGACATCACTGAACACACTCTGGCTTTAGAGGCAGGTCTTGCACCACCTGGAGAGCCTCTCTCACTCTACCCATCTGATATGCCCCTTCCTTCACCGACCTATCTGTCCAAACCACTGAACATCTCTGGGGTCACTACGTTGCCCAGGGACACTCAGGTTGCAGTAGAGCCTCCTCAGCCTTCTCTGTTAGCGGTAGGACCGGGATGTCCCTCACTCAAACCTGCAGCACCCCAGTTAATGGGGCTGCTACCTGGGAATGTATTCCCTGCACCTTCTCCTGAGACATCTTTCTCCCTGAATCCTGCACAGGGCTCCAGCATGATCGTCCGGAAAACCCTACCAGGCCTCGCAGGCCGCCAGCTGTTGACCCCTGCTGTTAGGACCACAGCAGCTCCAGAGATCATACTGCAGAGGACTCCTCTGCCCATTCAGCCCAAGTTGCCGGTGAACATCCAGCCTAGGTTGGTGCAAATCAGCCCTAAGCCTTCAGGGCAGAAATCGTCTCCAGGACTTACTTTTATTCCACCAGCTGCGTCTCAGAACATCCTGCTGTCCTCTCCTGTGACCTCCAAGCAACCTCCACCATCACAACCCACACCAACGCTCAACAAACCTGTCAGCCTTCAGCTAGTCAACCAGGGAGGCTCCATTGTCATACAGCCCCAAGGCCTCTTTCAGGGCCAAAGCCACTTCCTTCTGCCCAGCCAAAGCCCTGTAACAGTGGCCCAGTCTACAAGCACTGCTAGGCCTCTTCTCACCACAGTGAACAATCAAATGCCAAGTGGAGCCCCTTCAGCAGGACACCTCGTTGATGGCTCACAGATTGTGACTGTACGCCCTAGGCAACTGAATTTCAGCCCAGTATTTACAACTCCTACTGGGCAGCTCACACTCAGACAGGGAGCCCTCCTGGCAGGGCCCTTGCAGCTTCAGTCGGCACCTCCTACCGTCTTCCAGATGCCAGCACAGCTAACAGGAGCCTATGCTCCTCATCCACGGGGGCAGCATGGTGCTGTGGTCCACAGCCCTGCCTTAGGGAACCAGATCACCTTGATAAATAGCCCCAGTGTGCTCACCCCTGATATGACCTCCATTTCAATAGTCAACGGCCCATCAGTGGTGCAAAACCTGCCCTTTGTGTCGCAGGCACAGAGACTTATGGCAGGAGGTCCAGAGGAGCAGCTAAGTCTTCCACAGACCCCAGTGCTTCTCCTGCCTGAAAGAACAGTAACAGATAAGACTGAAGCAAACGAGCAGCTTCAAAGCATCTTACAAGTGAGATCCCCAAATTCACTCTCCTGTTTACTTTTTTTGTTGTTGCACTTTGTTGAGTGGCTCATAAAATGCCCAAGTCTGAACATGGTTGCATAATATTTGTCTGTTATTTTTATACTTATTGCAGCAGAGCAGACTGTCTTCTCCAGTCTCGGTCCAACCTCCTGTTGCCGAAATGCACTCACAGCCTTCTCCAGTGGTCACTCTCCTGCAGGCACCACCAGAAAGCACTCATACACCTGAGCCTGTTGCGTCGTTATCCAAACACCTAATTTCCCAACCAGAAAAGCAACAGGCTGTTGAAGAAGTCCGTAACTCTCAGAATCAAGCCTTCATACTTCATCCCCAACAGGTAAACCAAAGTGTGTGTTTGAGGTTTTGAATTTGGTAAAACCATTATCATACAAAAATATAAAACCTGAATGTCTGCATCTGAAAGGAGTATTTTGCATGTCAGAGCAACGTGAAATATGAAAGTAGGCTATTCACAACACCACCAACAACACTCAATTCCACAAAATATTGGGACGATAGGTAAAATGTAAATACAAACAAAACGCAATAATTTGCAAATCCTTTTTGACCTGTGTTCAGTTGGAAACAGTGCAAAGATATGATATTTAATGTTTCAACTAATTAACTTTATTTTTTGTAGATATTACTTATTCTAAATTTGATGCCTGCAACATATTCCAAAATAGTTGGGGCAGGGACATGTTTACTACTGTTACATCACCTTTTCTTTTAACACTATTCAGTAATCTGGGAACTGAGGACATCAGTTTTTGTCCTTGTAAAAGTGGAATTTTTCCCATTTTTGCTTGATAAAAAAATTAAGCTACTCAACAGACCGGGACCTCCAGCATTGTATATTGTGCTTCATAATGCGCCACACATTTCAAGTGGAAGACAGGTCTGCAGAATGTGGCTTGACATTGTTTTTCTGAAACAAGCAGGGGCATCCCTGAGCAAGATGTCATGTAGATGGCAATATATGTTGCTCCAAAATGCGTATTAATGTTACAGGCATCAATTTTAGAATGAGTATGTATTTACAAAAAATAATTAAGGTTAAAAAAGTAAAACATTAAATATCTTGTCTTTATACTGTTTTTATTTAAATGAAGGTCAAATTTACAAATCACTGCTTTTGTTTTTTTTTTTGTGTTTTACCTATTGTCTGAACTTTCTTTGGGTTGTGTTTGTAAATGCAAGAAGGCATGTAACATTTTAAATATGTTTTAATGCCTCTGTCCACAGCAAGCACTTTCAACCACTGCAGAGTCCTTGTCCGAGATGCTGCTAGCGGACAGTCACATCTCTCCTGCAGCCAGTGAGACAGAAGCTTCTCCTGCAGCCCTGGCTGTGTGCAGTCAGTCTGATGCCCTCTCTATACTTTCTGAGTGTGGTGGGATGCCCACCCCAGCACATTCTGGGTCAGAGCACAGCGACATGCTGTCCTCACCACCTATACTCCATTGCTCTGGAAGCACCCCATCTACAATGTTCCCCACACCTCCACTCTCAGACAGAGAGCCCATGGCCTCCTCTGCATTTGTGGCTCTCAATGCAAACCCCCAAGGGCAAGAGGAGTCTGTGTTGTGCCTGAGCCCGTCTTCTGTTCCAGAAAAGATGTGTTTGTCTGGGCAACAGCCTGCTTCTGCTGGCCTTAGTGGAACCCTGGAGGCTGGCCTCTGTGGAGTCCAGCAGCACATGAAGCAAAGCAGTGAGTGTGAAAAACCTCTACCGCAAAACCTAAAATAGTGGTGACCAACTGTACTCTTGGAGATCTGTTTTCCTGCAGTGTTGAGTTCCAACCATTGTGTAATATTTTGCTACCAGCCCTTCTTTTCACCCAACTCTAATGCACCTAATCAAGCCAATCAAGCCCTTTTTTTAAGACAGCAAAGCTAACAGGAGCCTGCGCTCCTCATCCACAGGGGCAGCACGATGCTGCAAGTCCACAGCCCTGCCTTAGGGAATCAGATCGCCTTGATAAATAGCCCCAGGGTGCTTACCCCTGAGATGACCTCCATTTCAATAGTGAACGGCCCATCAGTGGTGCAAAGCCTGCCCTTTGTGTTGCAGGCACAGAGACTTATGGCAGGAGGTCCTGAGGAGCAGCTAAGTCTTCTGCTGACATTTATTAGCTGGAGCATTTGTGACAGATTATGGCTGGGCCTAAATTGTGCAGGATCATGGTGTTCTCCAGGAACAGAATTGGTGGCTGCTGGGGGAGGCTATGTAACCTGTCATATTAGTAATTGCTGTTATGTTATTTAATAATAACTTATATAGTGTAGAATGAAATACTGTAGGCTAGAGGCCCAAAGGTATTTCAAGATCTGTAATTTAGTATTTCAGTGGAAACAGCAAGACACTGTCTTAAGTAAATTCAGTAACACATTCTGTTAAAATCTGTAAAGTACTATATTCAGAATACATTTACAATACATTAGAGTACTAGAATCTTAAGTACACGGGGAAGAACTCTGCTGTTATAATTTGACAAAATTGTTCCTCACAGTTACTGGTTGAGAGTTTTCTTCCCTTTTATTTCTTTTTTAAATATGTTAATGAAAAGATCATTTTAATGAAGTTCTGAAATTCTCAAAATTAAATAAGCCTATTATTAAATATTAGGTTTAAATACATTCATAAGTTGTTGGTTGTGACATGGTAGCTCTTAAAAGTTTTATAATATGTTATCATAAACCATGATGGCTTTAAAAATGTCCCACTTATTAGTACAGTCACCAAAAGTGGAACAGTGCTTAAAATCTGCTTTGTCAAATAATTAATATAACATATTCCAATAACAAAATCTTGCAAATTTCACCATAAACTGGGAAGCTATGTGATTTTCAGTTCATGACATGAATGTAATAAGATGCCATGAATCACATGACATGACATCAATGATAAACTCATCACTTGCAGACATATCCACTACAGAGGAGACTGTTCAGTTCCATCATCTGTCAAAAGAGTTTAATAACATTGAGAAAAATAATTGGCTTATCAAGTTGAGCAGGTTGTTTGTAAAGCGGAGTTCCTCAAGAATCCATCCAACAAGCATGTCTTCTACATGCCGTGCACTGATTTTAAAATAGTTAATAAAGCATTGATTCTTTAAAAAATGATTTGGTTCTTTGTGTATCCTAAAGGTTTTCACCTAAAAATAGAAAAAGGAACTGTATTCTGAATACTGCCTTTTGAAAATGTAACGTAGACAGAACATAGATACTTCTGTACAGAGACAGAATTTCTGTATTCTGAATACATATTCCCAATACTTGTATTACAATAATTCTCAAACCTGGTAATGTTTTTTTGACCTGTATCAGAACTCAGAGCTCCTGGTGTGATGGCTGATGGTGAACTTGTCTTGCCAGACCTACAGGAAGACCACAAGATTGTGTCATCACAGGGCACACAGATAACGACCACCGTCCAGGTGCAGATATCAGTGAGTAGACACTGAGTGCGTTTACATACACTTAATAATCCGATAACTGCAGAAAATCAGATTTTGTCAGTAATCCGATCAACACGTTTACATATACTTAGGTAATCAGATAAAGGGGAAACTCCGGGTCTACATGAGTCAAGCAGTAATCGAATTTCTGCTTTACAACCGGCCAATACACTCACAGAAAAGGTGTGATGTAAACGTAACGTAAAACTCAAACTTTGTGCCTCAGCTTTTTTTTTTTAAAAAAAATCATCACCCCACTTTACCTAAAACTATGAACATACATCATTTAGAAGATGAAGAATATTTAAATCCAAGTATGTAGTTAGTTTCAGCGTTGCTCCAAAAGTGTTTTGCTGTTTATTCCTGGTACCGCTGTCTGTTTCGAACGCACACACTGAGAAATCTAAAAGAAATCTGGGTAAGAGTTTACAAATCTGATTACTGAGCTAAAACCCAGCTCTCTCGAGTTTCTAGACCTTACTCCGATCTAATGAGTATACCGATCAGGAATATGCTGTTTACGTGACCTTTTAAATAATCGGATAACTGCAGATATCCGATTATTGAGTGCATGTAAACGCACTCATTGTTTCTTAATTACTGAGAGTCTGAAGACCGTCACATGTGACAGAGAAATGGGATTAGACATTACCTGTTATTTCATACAGCATTCATGAAACAGTCTGTGTTGCTCTAGGTACCCTCTGTCAGTGTGAAGGAAAAAGAAAGACTCACTCCAGCAGTGCGGCAGTACAGGTCAGTAGACACAAACATCTTCAGTGTAGAAAAATATCTGCATTAAATGTTTGGCAATTCAATCAACAGAGGACCTAGTAGAAGAATTTATTTTGCCTAATGACACTAAATTATTTTGTTAGTTCAGAATGACAAAGAAATCTGATGTAACATGATCAACATGTCTTTTGTATGTGTGTGTGTGTTACTTCCAGGGTGAAGCAGCAGATTTGTTCAGACCACAATGCTGTTTTCAATCCAAATACTCGTTCTCGATTCATTTCGCTAGAGGATGCTGTGAGACACCTGTTGCCGTACCATACCTGCTCCAGAGCCTTACCTAGCCACGCTGATCTGATGACAGGTTAGGCTCTAGTCAACCAAGTCATCTTAGCCCTCTAATACTAGACCTTTTAAAGACCTTTAAAACGGACTTGAATCAACTGATATTTGGTAATTCTGTGTTGTGGAAATTCAGTTGGACTTCTATTTTTGTATATATGATGAGGTATTTGTTGCTGTCTTATCTATCTACTAAAGTACAATGAGGCTGATTTGAAATGAACACTGCACGCCACTAAGTCTTTCTTATCTGTCTTTGTGCAGTGGATAAGCAGTTTGAGAATGTATCGGGGCTGCTGCTGAACCGTACCACAGACATGCTGAACAAGTACAGGAAGCTCTTACTGGCAGAGTCCCAGGTGAGCCAGAGCATAACACATTTCCTTTACCAAGCATCTCCCTGAAATGTTTTCTGCATTTCTATGTACTAAAACACATAGTATCACATAGATATATACTCCTACATTTTAAAAAGGCACATTATCTCTTCCATTCAGTAGTACTATGCAGTCATCCAGCCCAAACATTGTTTCCTGAGCTAGATTTATTGATTATTGTGCTCGTTCAGAGGACCACAAGCATTGTATGTGGTGTGCAGGAGGTTTGACTGGAATGTTAAAATACTGAAGGGCTGACTCATTGCATCACTAAACCACACAGGCAAAGTTTCAAACCAAGATTTACTAAAAGAACTTTTGGATATGAGGACTGAAGATTGACAAATATTGCCAAATGTTAAATTTTTAATAAGAGAACATTTTAACCAAAGGAAACGTTCATATTTTTATAGTTCTGAAAAATTAGACATGCATGCAAGATGTAGAGGAATGATAAATTGATGTGCCCCTGGCAGGGTGTACAAGATAAATTATACACTGCAGATGGTACTAACTTCTGGTTATATGGTGCAAAAAGGAAATTAAGACTAAATACTGTGAAAGAAGTCATGCAAGAACTGTTACTGATCTGTACAGCAGGAGAGTCCCTCAGCAGAGATGGTGATGCTGGAGCGGTTGTTCCTGCAGTCTGAGAGATTTTCACTGGGGGAGGAGAGACGCAGAGCCAGGGGAGATCCAGGTCAGTATTCTTGCTCATTGTTTCAAAGTATGGCACCTGTCACATAATGATGACGTGAACGTACGAGCAATAATATTTCGATATAGGCTATTTGGGGTAATTTGGGGAAATTACACTGATCCTTTATCCCACATGAATTGGCCATTTACAAACAAATTACTCACCGGCTCTACTCTGGTAAAATTAATTAAACTCTAATAGGGCTTAAGATGAACATGTGAAAGTAGTCTGTAATGCTACTCAAGCACTCTACTACCCCACAGGAAGAAAATACACAGCTAACAACATCGCATCACACAATGTGTGTGCTATTTCAGAATAGATTTGCTAAAGATTGCATCAGATTTCCTTCTTCTATATCCAATCCTTTATTTTCTGCTGATATCATCCCAATATTGATGCTCATCGATACCAAAATGTCATGTCTACATGCAACAATAACTGTGTTATGAAAAATCATAATAAAACATTTTCTCTTCTACTTGAACACAAATGTGGAATCAATTGAAATTATTTAGAATCCAGCCAGATTTTCAACAGAATTTCTTCAACTGAGCTGCAAGTAATAAATAATTAATACAAGTTAGAGGATGAGACTTCTGAGGGTAAATATTGAGATTTTCTTGTAGTCATAAAGTATAAATCATATATCTACTACTGATTCCATATCGAAGGGTATCAATATCAGACTGATATCTGTAGAATATGCTATATCTGATATTGGATGGCAAATACAGAATGAATCTGATCTAGTGCTCAACAAATCTACCCTGAAATGCCCACTTACTTTGTGTTTTAAGTAGATTGAGCAGGATAGTCCACTTTTAGCTCATTTTGCTTCATTTAAAAATAGCTAATTTTAAAGCTTAGTGGTTTTTAAAGAAGAGATATGTAGTGTGGGTCAATATCCAAGGTTTCAGTATCAGTATTAGAAAAGATAAAGTCATCATGCCATCATTGTTTGCTACCACAACTTACGTTCAGGTGAGCAGACATTCAGTAAAATCTAATCATCTGTGCATCATTTGGTTATTTGACAGAGTCGTTCCTGATGTCCTTGCGTAAAGCCTCTTTGCACCGCAGCATGGTGCCCTCAGGCCATGCTGATGCCTCAGGCAGTCCTCCTTCTCCTCCAGCATGGTCTCTACACTCAGACCGGCCTCCGGGCCTTAAGACGTATCGTTCCAGAAGCAGGGGGGCGCTCCGCCTCACCATCAAACATGAGTCAGGATCTCGCAAAGTCATCCACAATTCTGCCTGCGACAACAACCCACACACCCCCTCTGGCCACAAGCGCACCTCTGGTGGGCAGCTAACCAATGGAGGAGACGTGCAGGAGAAACAGGAAGCCCTTAAGCCTCCTTTGCTGTGTCCTCCAGTGAGCAGCTCTCAGCCTGTGAAACAAGCTGTGGGGAGAGGTCATACAGACATAGAGACAAGCAGGACAGCTTGCGATTTGGACCTCCCACATTCCACGGCTAAGTTGGAGTGCACAGGTGAGAGTCCAGAGGGTTTGCTTCCCGAATTGTGCCCTCCAGGGCTTAAACGGACAAAACTGGACTCTTCAGATGCACTGTGTCCAGGTTCTTCTCCGCTGGTGGAGGACAGCGGTCTCAGTGAGCACCTGCAGAGTGCCATAGACAGCATCCTGGAGCTGCAGCGGCTGCAGGGGACAGCGGCTGGGGTCAAACCCAAACTACAGCAGAGTCACTCATTGGAACAAGCAGTAAGTTGCATGCTGGAGGGAGAGCTGTAATACACTTAAGACCCCCAGGATGAGAACAAGTGCCATTTCCAGCATTTAATTTCCTGCAGTTGAATATAACACTGTCTGATGAACACAGCAGACACTAAATTCTTAATTTGTTCATTCACAGTCTAAGAGGAGTCTACTGTTAACTGTCCCTTACTGGCATGAGAAAGGTCTTTAAAATAAAGCACTGGAAGTAAATAAGTAAAATAAGTTAAATTCTAAATGTAAAAAGTAGCAGTTAGAGTTTGGGAAATCTGATGTGAATAAATTGAGTGGAGCATTTTTGAGAGATGCGCCACAGTAATTTTTTATATTCCTATTGGTTTAGTGTTAAGTAAGGAAACCTCCAATGTGCTTGATTTGTGCCAACATCAAAAATGTTGTCAGTTACATTTGCAGAGTGCCTGTGTGTATTCTTGTCTTTTTTGAATGTATGTATGTATGTATGTATGTGCGTGTTTGTGTCATAAGTATGATAGCTCATGTATGAAGGGGAAGAGTTTGCTTGGTTATATATAATATATATTATATAAATATAAATACAGTACAGTTTAAGCAAGTTTGTATTTGGAGATTCTCACACTTCAAGTGTGCATAATCTGCAGGTGACAGTACATGGAATATGTTGCAGCTTGTTTACCCCCAAAGAACATGTGCTTCATTCTGAAATCACCAGCAAAACCTATTACTGCATCAGTGAGATTTTTTTCCTTAAAAATGACTCGTCTCCAATCCAAAATTAACAAAAATTGAAAGAACATTATCCAGTTAAGAATTGGCAGGTATTTTTTTGTGCTGACTTTGCAGCCAACTGTGATGCATCTTTCCATTTTTGCATCACTGTGCACCATTTTGTCATTTGAGACGGGCTTTGCATCATCTGTGCACTGTTTGGTCATTTGACAAGGAGACAAAATCTATGATATATTAAAGAAACAAGCAATAATGAATGGTTGGTCTAAAATGTGGTTGTGCCTCAGTCAAACTTCTAGTCCTTGTTTTCTGTGTATTTGTGATCCCATCAGTTCGTCATTCTTTGACCGGCAAAGTGGTAAAATCTTGATGCACCAATGTGTATCTATACTTATCAGTTTAACTTTGGGAAATCAGTGCCAACTGATGAGTTACTTGTGCAGGATCAGAACACAGAATTTGGTAAAAGGGGGAAAAGTGTTTTACTTTTTTTAATGTATTTGTGTTTGATGTTTTCCTTGACAATCTATGACAATTTTGTATGTTTTGTGCACTCCACATATAGTTCTGTATAGAACTAGACCTGTTAAGGTTGACTTTCTGGATATGTAGATGATGGATTGTGGAGGCCCCATTATTTTTCAGCAGTAATTATTATTGGGGGTTGACACCTCATTCTTATTTAAGTAGAGACAATGGGCCTTATCAAGCACCCCAGTTTAAGAACACCAATATAAGATCGAGCCTCATTAGTAGTACTATGTAAAAGGCATAAACTGACATCAGATCAGCATTATTATCTGGGATGTTTGATAAGTGTGGGCCAGTGTCGCAAAGCTACAGCTAATTATTCATCGTCGCTCACCAAGTGAAACGTCCATGTCTCACCTGACATCAGCAACCGCATATTTGGCTGCAGTGTTATTACTTTCAAATGCCAATTTGATATTCCTCTCCAACATGCTATGCACTAATCTAGAACTAAAACCAAGTCAATACAGCGCACTTAACCCTGTAAACTGTGACCAGCCCTAAATGTGACAAGGTGCCACTTTTCAATGTATGATGTCATTTTTTTCCTAGTCATTCTCTTTTTTCAGTTTAATACTGTGAACATGGTAGCATGTGTTGGACACAGCTTCAGACTATGACACACTTGACTGACAGATTGTTCTGATGCCAAAATCAAAGAGGCCTTAATTTCGCAGTACCAGATTGTAAAGAGATCATTAATGTTAAATCACAACTAATGATTCCTGTGACCCAATGTAATGTTAGTGATTCATTGAAGACATATAAAGAGAAAATCTTTTGTACACATTTTTACAAACTATTTATTTAACTGTGATTTTGTAAATAATAAAAGGTAAAATGGTGAATGGAAATGCTTGTGTTGTGTGTTGAAATGGAGTGGCGGGGGGTTGCATTGAGAATGTGTTCAGTGGAACTTGCATGGTCTACAGCACAGGGTTTAACTTACTGCTTCCAAAGCACCTTCACAAAGACACGTCTCAACATTAAATAATTTTATTAAATGTTTAAGGAAACACAGCAGCTTTTAAAGGGGTTACATCTGGACAAATGTAAATAAAAGGACAAACTACAGTGTTTCTTTAGTTAAATCAAAGGCATTCTCCATGCTTGAATGTGGAAATCAGTATCTTGCTGAAGGATCATGGGTTTCCGGATCTCCTTCTTGTATTAATGCTCATAGAGCTGAATCTCTCTAGTTGTACAGAACTTCATATGCTTAAATATGTTAGAAACTTACACACCATTGAATGTTGTCATTAAAGGATAGGTCAAATGATGGACTTTCCTCTACTAAAGTCAGGGGGAAAGATGCACTAACAGTTGCTCTCTGAGGTGTCCTGACTGACAGGGGAAATTTGGGGGAATACAAACTAGAGGAGTGGCCACATCCTTCCAAACCTACATTCAAGATGGTTAAAAATAATAATAATTTGTTCAGCTGGAGAGCCCAGAGTGTTCCAAAAACTCCTAGACAAGTTAACTAAAAGGAGATGTCCAGTTTATAGTCATGTCAAATCTATTATAAAAGACCGACATAAATAGTGTAACAGCAACTGTTCAGATATGGGGCAAAAAAAAAAAGAGAGGTATTATGACCACAGTCAACAGCCCTGCAGGGCAAAACGATGATTTACCACACACACTTATTCAAAATATTTAATAGGGCCACAAACCAGCAGCAACTTTAACCGAGATATTTTTTTTTAAACTTATTTTTAAGAAACGAGGGGCTGGTTTGAGCTGTTTAAAATGTATCAAAATCATTTCAAGCTGAGAACTGTTCTCCCACCACATCTTTTCTTCCCCTTCTAAAGGAGTGTGCACATAATGTCTTTAACCCTCATCTTTCTTGTATTTTTCCCTTCGTCTTGCTTAGTGATCCATCATTCACCGCAGTGACTTCCAAGTCCAAGTCTGAGAACCTCTGGCTTGCTTCTTCAGTTCATCTACAGCCAGTCTGTGAACCAGCGCTGGGCTTCTTTCATACAGTATTGAGTATCGGGGACACTAGCCAGCCAAGTCTATCTCTTTGGAACACACTGAAATGACATCACAGGATTGGGGAGAGACCGCCTGGGTCCGACCCACTTCGCAGCAACCCTCCTACCTGCAGGGAGAAACTGCAAAAGTCTGCTGTGCGAGAGAGGAGTACGAGGGGTCAGTTCAGGTTGATGACCAGGTCCTTTCCATATTTGCGTAGGTACTTCTCGTGGTTGTGGTCGACGGACCAGAGCGGGGGCAAGAAGCTGGGCTGCATGCTGGACAGGAAGTGCTGGCGCCAGCGGCGCTCCAGATCAATCAGACCCTGCAGGCCGTGTTCAGCGTACGCCCGCACAACCTTCAACCCGTGGGGCACATAATTCTCATTAAAAATCCTGCAAGCATACAGAGACGCAGTGGAGTTATCTTTAAACAGACGGAATAGATGTCAGGGTGGACAGGAATTACTGAGTATCATGCCATTTCAGCGAGTCATAAGTCCAACAGAAGTGTCTCCTGGTTCGGCAAAATATCAAATTTGCAGAGTTTTCACTTATTCCAGATGTAAATCGATCATGTGAGACATTTTTGGAGTCCGGATTTTGCTTCTTTAGGTTAGAACTGGAACGGTGAGGCTAACATTGCATGACAATCAATAGAACCCAAATCATTTCCAATAAAATACACCACCAAAACATCTTTCAACCCACTGAAGCCGCATCCACATCTTCATTATAATTGTTTACACAACACAACGGCAGGCAGCCACTTCGGACAACAGGGTCTGCTGTAGACCCTCAGTAATAGGAGGGCTGATCTAGAATCAGTATTTTTGAGAATTACAGTCCATCCAGAAATATGGAGGAATTTGATCCGAGAACAGTGCTGCTTTCTGAATACCAGCGTCGGTGTTGTCTGAAATGGCCCTGTAGCAATGAAATTTTGTTAATTTTTAATAGCTTACAGTAAGAGATCCTGCGCCCTAATCAAACCTGCACAAGCTTAATGAAGACCTATAATAAAAAAAAGCTTGTGTTTGTTGGGAATGTTAGACTTGTAGCTCCATTTCTAAACTAAAGGAGCAAAATTTAAACTCCAAACATGTCTTAGCCAACCGACTACACATCCAGGGTGTAGTAGCAAAATTGTGCAAATTTTTATGCTATTTAAATTTAATTTCCATTATTTAAAACATCCTCAGTGTGCAAGTCATTTAGAGAAATCTGAGCCCTAAATGCAAGAGACAACAATCAGTTTAACAATGATCAGAAGCCTTTTAGGGTAACATCCAGTATTTTTCCACAGAATGTAATCAAAAGTTTAAAGTGGGGCTTAATCCTTAACAATTTTTACATTTTAGTCAATATTTGAATAAAAACTGTTTCTATATTAATGATTTTCCTGTACATCTGTCCAAACTTTGGCCTTATCCTGTAGCCTGCTCACGCTGCTCTGCACAGCTTTCTGCAGTGAAATCCCGCGAGACACATTATAGGTTATGAGGTAGGCTATCCGGTTAGATGTGACTGTCAGCTATAGTGAAGGAAAGTGATCAGATCGTCCTCTGCTGTTTGTGTTCAAACTGTAGGTTAACAATTAACCAAGGTGGTGACGCACATTCTAAGTTGTACAACATGATTTTCAACACTGTGTCAATGATCCAAGTGATTAACTGACTTTAAAAAAGGTAGTTAAAAGGTAGTTTCCCTTAAACAGAGTAGTGTCCACATAACATGAAGCGACACTTGCACTGAGCCATGATTTTGTAGTTCAATTGTATTCTAATCTTCACAGTTCAGTTGCTCTAATTATTATACTATTGTACTGTAAAAATTGCACTATAGCAAAATGAATGGCAATTCAGATTTTTTTTTTAATGCAACCAGCAGGTGGCGCAGGTCTGCACTTCCCCTTCCTGTATTCTTTTATCATGTTGCCTTTTGCTCCATCCAAGTTTTAATCAGGGAAAAAAACAAAACAAAACAAAATTTCACACCAGAAGGCACCACATATAGGAGATGCAACCAGTCTAAGTTGTATGATGAAGTCGGGTACATCACAACTTTTGTTTACTTAGTTTTAAAGCCCCCCATCAACATGGCTCAAATTAATACAATTTACTAGTAGATAAATGCTCCAAAAATTCTGAGCTGCTCCTCATCACAACTGTGTGGGCGTGTCAGAACACAAAATGATTGACAGTGGCGCCTCACAGGCAACGTAAACAACGCAGCTCAAGTGGCAATGAGCGACATGGCCAATTGGCATGGAGCAAAAAGTGCAAAACAGAGGTCAGAGTGGTCTAATGGTCATTTTTGCAGATAATGGAGAACTCAGGCTCTCATCTTACGACAAGTACATCAGGAGCATATTGTGTCCAATATTTGAATGCTCAGAACTAATATATCCATAATTCAGGCCTAACTGAAAAGAACTAAACTGAAAGAAATGGCAGGAAAAGTAATTTACAGTCTCAACAGAAAAGACCAACATCTTTCATTCTCTCCCAACTGATAGTAATAACACCACACAAGCTATAGGCAATAATTAGATGAAAATCCTGAAAATAAGTACAAGAGCTTTAAATGGTTAATGACTGGAGAGGGGGTGCACATTTTTATATTATTATTATATTTTCTCAAAGTTGGCAGGTCTGCAAAGTTAATTCACAATTTCAACTTTCCACATCCACTCCAGCCAACTCACCTTTGCACAGGAATTAAAAGCAGCATCCTCCCAGCCAGACGGAGTGAGGTGGGGGAACGGGAGCGATAATCATCTGGTGTTGCTATCGATTTGCAGTCTCTTGAAATGACTGACTTCACGCATTTGCCATCCCCAGGGAATAAACCCACTGCTATGACTTGTCAAACTCTTCTTCTTTGGTTTTTCGGAAGGCTAGACGCTGCGGTCTCTTGCTGTTAGGTTTGAATACTGCATGTGCACAACTGAACTCACAGGCGTCACCAGCTTTTTGCTTAATTAAGAGAGATCAAAATCGAATCGGCGTACTTTGATGTCAAACTGTGTATCTGCTATGCAAAATGTGTAAAGGTTGGCAAGGCTTGTTATTCAGTAACTACAGGGACTTCACTGCATTGGTTGAGCTATTCTTAGGTTATAGAAGTGTGTAATAAAACTTTGGGCCTACTGGCCATTTAAGAGGTTAATAAAGAATGAGTGCCTAAAGTGTATAATGTTTTACCTGCCATTGGAGCAGAATAAGAACCATCACAGAACTATGATTTATTATTATTATTTTATAAAAAGCCATCACTACCATATTCAATAAACATGCTTTCTTTTAAGGTACTTGCTATTTATATTCATCACTCTGAAGGAAAGTCTAAGATGTGAAATAGATTTTGTTGAACTGCATGAATACATACAAGCGATCTCTTCAGCAGAGAACCAAAACCATTCTGAAAAAGTACAGCGCTAATGCATTTTTCCTCACCTGGTCTCCAGGTTTGCAGCTGTCTGCAGCATTTCATCTGTGAGCTCGCTGTCTCGCTCCTCCTCTTTGCAGAAGAAAGTACGGACGATTGACTGGAGCTCATCCCGCCTTGAGTCTGGCATGCTCTCGCCGGCACTGAGGAGGGCACGTGCAGCCGAACGAACCCGTCGACGGTCTGAGTCCTCCAGCATCCTCACACCCTCCTCGCAACCCTGAGGGGCCGAAAACTCATCAGCCAGCTGCTGCTTCAGGAAGCCGTCATACACATTGGACGCTGCATGACAGGAAGTACACAGCAGCAGGATGTCATGGGAGTTGTGGTCTTTCATCTCGGCTGGGAAGTGGCGTCTGTATTCATGTGGAACAATGTTCTTTCTAACGGAAAGAGGACAACAGAGCCCGCTGGAGAATTTATCTACTCACAATGATAAAATGCATGTAGCTTCTTAACGAAACGAAAATCTTGTGGTTTCTAGTGTATGTACATGCCAGATTGGACATATGCATGGGCGGTCAGCCGAAGAACTGAGCATGGACACACTGAAGCAACAGAGGACAAACCTGATGTAGGACTCCGCTTTTCCACACACCACACACAGATTTTCCTTGGCTGTTAGGTAGTAGTCCTTCTGAGAGTCGGGACGACCTGACGGTTCAAACAGCAAACGCACGATGAAGGGCTCCTCGCTCATCAGCTCTGAGAGACAGGGCAGAGGCATCCATCAACGCTGCAGATACTCATTTAATGAGAATGTCTAACAAACTATTCTCATGTCATTCACAATAAGGCTGCTTAAAGGGGAATTAAAATAAATAAATAAATAAATAAATAAATAATTTCTACATTTTTACAACATAAAGACGAAATGCACCAGTCAAGACAATCAATGAGTCAGAACTCTTCTCAATGTTCTCTCAACAATACAATAAATAAACATTGTGAAAACTGTCTCAGAGGTGGACAATATGATGACGTTATCATAATGATGATAAATTCTGTTATCATTTTAATTTCTTTTTAAAAACTCAGTTCTTTTAAAAAATCTGTTTCCCCCAAAGTTTAGTCTTTGCCAGCTCCACCCACTAGCTAGCTACTTCATCACAGTGTTGTCAAGCTGGGAGGGTGAAGGGTAGCACGAGTTTCCTCCGAGACAAATGAAGCCAGTTACCGCATCTTTTTGAACCGTCTCTAATTCGACATCATTGGACAGCTCAACAGGCTTTGAGGAGAAAACTACCTGCCAATTCGGTTACATAAGCTAACAGATGCCTGTGTTGGCTAGAATTATACTGAGTGATGGAGGAGAGGGGGAGCCATCCTATCCACATACTAAGCATATTGTGGATATCAACAGAACACTGACCAACTGCATGTGTTATTACAAAAAAGTAAAAAAAAAAAAAAAATCTGGTTCTACTACCACATTTTGTCTGCATGTCAAGATATTGTGACATACTGTGAAAATGTTTTTAATGATACAATATTTTGCCATATTGCCCATCACTACTTCGTTTACATCTACAACTGAATGCACAATTTTTGAGGAAAACAGACAAACAAAAATCAGTGGAATTCCAGTTTAAGTCAATGTTACGTCAATTTGTATCTCTGAGAATTACCTCCTATTCCTTTGTCAAGGTACCATTTTGCCTTTTTCTTGTCACAGGTACAGAGTGGCTGGCCATCAGGTGCATGAAGGAAGCAATTATCATACAGGGGGGATTTCCTGGGAAGAAATAAAGGACAAGGTTTGATTTCTGCACACGCAAGTAAAAGGCCCACAAAGAAAAACGTACACAGAAAAATAGGGAACCTTATGCTCAGTTCTTTAGCTCCACACTGGAGTTATGATATTGTATGGTATCTATTATCTATGTAATGGGCAAAAGTATGGACAACATTCAGGCTTTAGGACAGCTACTAATATTGTTTTTAGCTTTGAGATGCAATCTATTGCCTTAACCAGCTATAGATTTACTACTAACTGCTATACCTGGCTGAGTACCCAACCCCGAGAGGTTTGCGCTTGTTTCTGCGGGGGTCTGGTACTTGCTGGTCTCCAGACTCTGGGCTGTCCACAGTGGACCTGCGGTTTCTGCGCCTGCGCTCGCCCTCCTCTCCTTCACTGCGGGTCCTAAAGGGTACGTCCACCAGGCCCTGGCAGTGCGAGGCCAGCTTTGAGTAGGCGGTCTCTCCCTCACCTAACAGGCAGGGCTCAGAGTGGAAGCCCAGCATGTAGAGAAAGAGGGAAATGGACACCTGGGCATCACGCGCTGCGTACAGCATCTACACAGGCAAAGAGAGGAGACGTCCATGAGGTCAGCCAGGACATTTACACTTAATAAAGTGCAGTCAGCTGGAACGATGCACATTTCTTTTTGCTGAATGAAACTGTACTGAAACCAAACATAGGCAGCACAAAGAGACACGAGAAGCTGTGGGGTTTATGTTTGTACACCAGTATTTTCTGTTTGTTTCTACAGAATCTACAAACACTGAATAAATGAATAAATAGTTATGTAAGACATAACAGTGTTGTGTCCCAAAAATGAGAAATTGGGTCAGGCCTGATCAGCTTAAGTTAACCACCGCATCTCAAAGACTTATCACAGTTACAAAGAAAGGTCCAACAACAATGGAGCAGCTTTCACGCTTTGGTCAGGAAACAGCAGGTTTCTGAATGATGGCCATCAGTTACAGAATGCAACGAGAGTGGGCAATCAAAAGCCATCCCAGACAAAGGGACCAAGATTTAACTTACATCAGGAGCGTTTACAGCACCAACAGCAAACTGCAGCTCTCAAAGGAAGTTCAGTGTTTAGTCTGACACTGTTGAACGTGGAGTAATTTTCACAAGCTTTGTTACTCCTGGAATAAAGACTGGATTTTTCAAGCTCAGGGAAACTGTTAGAAGGTATAAGAGCAACAGAGAAAACCTTTACAAAACTGCTCAGTGTTCAGAAAGTGGCTGAGGAGAGGTAGCCCACCTGCTGCTGGGTCAGGTGCTCGGCTTCCCAGTTACTACAGCGCAGCTCCAGTGATTTGTCCAGGGTGACGTTGAGCAGGTCTGCAGCCAGAGACTTCAGACTCAGCCCATTGTTCAGCACTGCATGCCTGCACCATTCAGTGGACATAATAACAGTCAAAGTAACATCTCACCAACGTTTCAGGAAGCCAAAACTGTCTTTGTATTGATGTAAATGCCTGTAGTAACTTTATGGTTCAGCCTGGATACTGACAACACTTTTTTATAAAAAAGTAAAATAAAATAAAAAAATGGCAGTCATTAAGGCCAATGCTAAAATTAATACAAACAAACCTTACATGGCCTCTGCCACTGTAAACCTATTTCATATACAGTACTGAGCAAAATTCAGAGACCACCCTTCATTTATTTTCAGTCGATAAGCATGTTACTGATTTCTCAGTGTCCCAAAAAACAAAGTTACTTAACAGAAAATTACACAGAAGTTCCAACAATTCATTATAATATTAGATTTTTCTGTATTCAATGTGTTCACCCTTTCCATTATTACACTTCCATTCTTGTCAGGAGACGTGCTTTCAGTTCTCCATCTGAAGAATCAGCAGAGATGTTTTTCTAGACCTTAGAGGTCTTAGAGGTTGGCTGCATTTTTTGACCCCTCACAATTGACGTCATCCTAATTATAAATTCAGCCTCATCGGTCCATAAAACCTTACCTTATATCTCAGATGTCCAGTTTCAGTGTTCTATTTGAAATTAGATTTTTTGTCCGTTTCTTTTTCTTACTAAAGGCTACACATCCTTTCAGACTCATAGTGTGGAGTTGTCTTCTCACAGTGGATGGACAGAAATACCTGTAGGTTTATTCAAGTCTAAAGTAAGAGTGGAGCTTGATTTTCTCCTCTCTCTCAAAGATGAATACTTTAAGTACTGTTTATCTGATGGTGACAGGTCTGCCAGGTCTTACATGGTTGTTCTTCTGTATTATATTTTAATAATTTATTGAACTCCAATTTTGGAAATTCCCAACGTTATCCAAATCAAAAATCTCGCCTAAAATGAGTAACTTTCCCTTAATGGCTATTTTGACTGAAAATTAAACAAATGATGGGTGATGGAAAATACTTTGTCAAGTTTGTCATCAAAGCATAATGACTGAACTTTTAGGAATATTATTTATTACCTTTGCCTAAGGGCTAAGTAGCGCAAGTCCACCACACACACAAGAGCCAAGCCATGGTCGTGGGCCAGGCGCTTGCCATCCTCATAACAGCCGACCCCCACTTTCAGCACATGGGGGTCCCGTAGGACCTGCAGGAGGCCTTTGGGCAGAGACAGCTGGGCATTGCGAAATGCCAGCAGTCTGACCAGCATACATCGGCCAGAGTACGTGGCAATTTGGAGCAAGGAGACCGCAGATGCTTTCCCTTTGACGGACACCTAGGGGTAAAACAAACACCTTGTGAAGGAGGACAATTTCCAAGAACAGGGGATTTGAACTCCCAACACTTGTAGAACCCCTCTTACACGCATGCTCTTTACCCATTCACAGTCCAAACCCAGGACAGGGAAGATGTTCAGGTCCTTTTGGAAAGAAGGCCAGTGTTCTTCCCATTCTTCTAATGAGCTCACCACCACCGCCGGCACCTCCAGCAACTTCTCCACAGATGGTATCGAAATGCGTGGTGCTGGCTTCGGTTGTGAAAGCTGAACCGGGGTTGGACTGCATTCTAAAGGTCCAAGCTGCTCTACAGGTAAGGGGTCAGACTTTTTGGGGCTTTTCAAGGCTTTTCTCTTCTGTGTGTATATGGTGTGCCACAGGAGCAGGCCTCCAAGTGTGGCTCCTAACATGGTTGCCACTGCTGCAGTGAGGGTACTTTGTCGGGACATCTTTGCAGTTGCAGCAGCTCCCTGCTAGAACATACAGAACAAGGACATACAGAACAAGGATATAAGTTGCACCATGAATCACACACTAAAGCCAAGCAAAGTAGGACAAAGGGAATAATTCAGGCAAACAGCCGTACAAAACACATATGCTAAGAAAACACGGAAAACATTCCAACAGAGAGGAGCAGCTCGGTCCCAACGAGGCCTTGGATGAAGTCCCAGAAAACCACTATAGCTTCCACTAATCGTTGTGCAAGTTAAAGGGAAACTCCACTGATTTTTTAAAAATTGAAGATAATTAAATAGTTGGGAGGTAAACAAAGACACTCAGAGCGGCGTGATGTGTAAAGCCTCATTCTAGAGAAACTTGCCAAAACAGAACTGTTCACAGTGGTGGTGATAGGAACCAGACATTTGAAGAGTTTAACGTCTAACAAAACGGTTAGATATAAGCTGCTTAAAGTCTGACACCTTGTTTTATGACAGAATTTTCGCTTAAAATGGAGGCAAAATAGTCCCTAAAGATTTTTTTTTCTTCAGATTTATGACCATTTTACTATCATCATTACATATAAAAACTCAGAACACGTGTAGGCTCACTGGGGGTTTTGGATAGTAAATAAAATGGCTTTATCTGAGCCCTGGTTGCCATCACCACCACTGTAAAGAAATCTGAGTCTGTAGGTTTCTGTACAATGAACCACTTCACATCAAACCACTAGGAATGACTGTTTACATCTCAAGGACTGAATTTCTCATAAAGTTTGAAAAACTGGTTGAATTCCTCTTTAACAGGACAGGACTGTCGCCAGTCTACAACACGCAGCAATTAGTCCTCAACGTCCAACGTCAAGTCTGTAAAATGAAATCTCTCTACGTTAAGGCGCAATGGTGTTTGGTGTGAAATGCTCCGCTGTAGAGAAACCTAAGAAATCAGTTGTTCACAGCGGTGTTGATAGGAACCAGACGTCTGAACCATCTAACGTCTCTAAAAGCTCCCAATGAGAAACTATTAACGTTAACCTAACTGGTTCCGAATACGTTGTCTGATGCCTGAGAGGCTGTTTTACGATAGTTTTGAGATCAACTTTTGGCCTAAAGCGTACTTTTTTTTAAAAAGGTATTACAAATCAAGTGCGTTCTAAGGCCAAACAGTCCCCACAGAGAACTTAAAGAGCGTTCCCACCTCTTCACCTTTAACAGCACTATATACAAACATTGCGAAGACACGTGTAGTTCCGTTTTGGAGAGCAGATAAACGGCTATATTTCAGCTTTAGATATCGCGAATTCTGGTTCCCATCTTTCTGTACAAGCAACAATTCACATCAGGACACTCTGTTTACATCTCAACCACTGAATTCTGCAGATTTTGTGGGATTCCCCTTCAAACTCCAACGCGATACTGAAAGTATTTTCAGTGCTGTTTCTATACTGAAGTGAGTGTGACTGTAGTACTTTCAATCAGTCGCTCATTCTCACGAGGCTGAAGTTGGCTTCCTAATCGAATTATTCCCGTTCCACCTTAAACCATTTAAGGTAGAACGGGAAAATTCGAGTAAGAAGCCGACTTCAGCTTCGTCTTATTCTCCTCAACCTATCCAACCGTTGACTTCAGAGCGTACCTGAATTAACAGCGCTGTAACAGTTAAACGTGCTCTAAATGGAGTTTGTCTTATTTTCACTGCACTAAGTATGATCTGATCCAACGTTACCGCTGCAGCTCTTCAGGCTGGCTGGCCGCTGATGGGAGACTGTACAGCGGCTCGTCCGCTCACTGCTGTGTAAATCAGCTTTACGGAATTACCGCACAAACGCTGACAGCATCAGATCCTTTCATACCTTCTCAGCCGCGGAGTGACCATGTAACTAACCCACACAGCTAACCACGCTACTCACCAGGAGCCGAGAGAGCCGATCCAAACACACAAACTCACTCTCCTACACACTCCCGCACACACTCGCTTTGGTTGGGATAATGAACAGCTGCACCGCCTCTTCTTCCTCTTCTATATCTACCAGGGAGCGACGTGCGGTATCCACACCACAGCGCCCCCACAGCTAGAGGAAGATTATATCAATCCGGTTAAAGGACAAATCCACCGAATTTCAATATAATATCTGTGTAATTAATTGATTCTGATGTAAAGTCATTCTGAGTGTTTTCATGTGAAATGCTAATGAACGTGTCAAACTTGCTCCCAGTGGTGCTGATGGGAAATAGACATCCATGTTTAATGTTTCTAAAATCTACCTTACAAAGTTATTAGATGAAATGATAAGGCTGCTTGGTTATGGCAAAAATCATAATCACAATTATTTTACATGATTACTGATTGACTTTGGAAACATCATGCATTTACTGAACTCTCTGAGAGAGTTTGGGCTTTTAGGAAGGGGCAAAAGTGTACCACTGTTAGAGAAAGGGGTGTGTTGGATTTATAACAAGACGAAATGAGAGCATCCTTGTGAAAAGGAATGTGACACAATAACGGTTACATCCCAATCTTATCATAATCGTTTGAAGCCAGAATCATAACTGAAATTAAAATTCAATGAATCACCCAGTCCTATGAAACAGTTATGAATATGCTGCCTAATGCCTAAGACGTTTTACAATAACGTTGTCAAGGTAGGGTGTTCTAAGGCAAAACAGTACCCAACATTTTTTTTCCTTCAGAATTACCAGAATTATTATTTTACCATTACCAACATTACATATATGTTTGTGCTGCAGACATCATGACCTCCCATCACTACTATTGTATAGAAATGGGAGTTTCTCTATAATGAACCTTTTCACATCAAACCACTCAGAATTAATTTGCTTATACAGTATATAAATGGTTTAATTACGCAGACTTTTTGAAAAATTGGTGGACTTCAACAACACAAGCTAAACCCACTGATATGGCTAAATCTCAAACTCAGATAAATATACAACTCACATGGAAAACTGAACGGTAATTCAATAAAGATTAACTTTTGATAATTAAGTAAATTACCCTTAAGACCCGTTTCAGTCTGTTCAAGTTGTCCAGTCAGTCCAGTAGTCCAGTCAGGCTCCATTTTTATTTATTTGGTCAATCAAATCAAATTTACCTAAGAAACCCATTCATAAAATAGTTAAAATTTGCATTTTGTAGACTGTCTGCTTCACAATCACACCACGCAAAAAGAACAAGAGATACGTGTTTAACTGTTGTCCTCCACCACCATCATTTTATTCAATCTTTTAGATCTACTTTTTTTCTGGAAAGAAGTGGAATAAAATAATGAAATACTTACAAAATGAGGGAAAAAACAAAAACCGCTAAAACAGAACCAAAGATCTCCACAGGTTTGATAAAAAGAAGAGACAATGCAAAAACCTTTTGACATCCCCTCAATGCAACCAGTTTAAAACCACAGGCTGTATAACCTCCACTGTTTGGTGGCATTATGGCTCACCAATGCCAAACTGAACTGAGCCTTCTCACCCAAATGGCCAAATCAACTAGAATAGTGCTTGTGCAATATGCAGAGATAACTTCAAAACGATTGGCTGGAGATGACACTGTCAATAGTGTTAAAATTAATTTTAAAAGCCCCCCAAAACCCCAAAAACATTCAATTATATAGACAGTGGAAAAAAAATCAAAATACTGAGCACTATGGTACAAAATAACAAAATAAAATGCCAGAGATAAAGAATGAGAGCTCTGATGAATCTCCCAGTTCAAGATGATTGTAGTTGCAATGATTCGTTATTTACAGAGGGGTTTTCACATCCAAAAATGGGACGTGATGCACGGCAATAAGAAAACTCCCTTCACTCTCAGTCTCTCTTTATATAACACATACAAGTTAAAACCTCAATGTGTATAATAATGAATATATATTTAAATTTCTATAGATATATCTATATATGTTCATTTCCTGTATACACACAAAATCATTTCCACTGTAGCTAGCCTGCACCTTTGGCAAGATTACTTACAACTTTTCTGTTATATTCCAAAGCTATTTAAAATATACTTAATGCATAAAAATAAAGATTTTGGCATTCTCTCGTTTCTTCTTCTGATTAGGAAGTTTTATGAAAACTTCTCAAATCTGGAAGCTCAGTTCTTCTCTCAGTGCCTCTGTCCTTCTGGTGGGAGGAGCAGTCGTTCTTCCCCACATTTGGGGGGTGGGGGGGGTGCTGTGAGCTGGACTATGGGGAGATAAGGACATGGAGGCAGGATTGAGAAATCAAGAATGTATAGCTGCAGGGGTCTGTCTCCAAATCAGGCTGTATTTTTTTCTTTTTAAAGGTCAAGAGGCATTTTCAGCTCTCAATCCACTTCCATCTCCTATACGGACGCAGTTGCACCAGACAGAATGAAAAGAGTAGCTGCGTATTACTGACTTCTCCCCACGTTTACTGCTGGCCTCTGAATTCCACTGAAGCGCCTCCCTGTCAGCTCACACTTAACACTAGACACAGACTGATGGACAGCAAGGGGATGAGACAGAAATATTCAGCTGAAGTGGTATGAGTGTCAAAGGGGTCCCCTCTCTTAGTCCCTCCCCACAACCCTCTCACAACCATCCATTTTCTCCTTCATGTGTCTATGCCAGCTTCTTGACTCTCACGCACCCCATAGTATGTATTTTTGATTTTTTACAGTTGGATCTCAAAGGTCTTTTGGAGCTCACTTGAAAAGGGGTTTGTGGGTGAAGGGGTGGTGCGCTGCCTTGAACGGCTCTCCAAGGCCGCCCACTGAGCCTCAAAGGCGTCGGCCTGATGCTGTGCTGGCAGAGGAGGGGCTGAGGAGGAGGTAGCCGGCCAGCTGTCAGCGCCATTGAATGTAGCGTTACCGTTGGGTGGCTGAAACACTGTCGGATTTGCCACTGGAGGCAAGGGGGGTTTGCCAAATGGGCTGCCCACACCTCGGGCATCCAGTTGCGCCAGAGGCGGAGTAGAGAAAGGCGAGGGCTGTAGTGTGTGGGTTTGGGGAACAGGTGCAGGCACTGGCACTGGCTGGGTCTGCGAAGCTGAACCAAAGACATTGGCCACCATTTGAGAAGGCGTGATGCCGACCACGGGCACACTTGGCTGGGCGTAGGGGAGCCCGTTGGCCATTGGATACGAGGCTGGGGTCTGGGCGTGAAAGGCAGGCTGGTGTGGGGGCAGAGTGGGCACAGCTGATGGCATAGGGGGCATGAAGGCTACAGGGGCAGCAGGAGCTACAGGGACAGGCATGGGTGCTGAGAAGGGCTGCTGGGTGGGAGGAGTAGTGGTCCTGGCCCCAGGCTGCTGGGCTCGTACAGACTTGGACACCTCCTCCAGCCAGCGGTCAGCCTCAGACGGCGTGCGCTTATGAGAGGCTGTGGGGACTGTGAGAGGTGCAATTGCCGCAGGAGGAGCCACCACTGCAGGTGTAGGACTAGGCCAGTCACCCCCTTTGAAGACAAAGCAAAAAAAACACTATTATTCATCTTGAGTAAACAATAATCAAAAAGAACACAGAGGCAAAATAGATGCCTATAGATAACTATAAATCATCTGTGGTCACCGGTCTTTCTTCCTGCGTCATTGGTTTCACCTCTAATCCATATCTCATTTATTCGATCCAGCTAAATCAAGAACTTCTGGAGTCAATTATTAGGACTGTTTAAATGAACATAGCATTAGTTGGTACAGTGCATGCCAGTTAGATTATTTTGTTCGACTTGCATTGGTGCCACTGGTGTGTCACAATGACGTAAGTCGTAACTGTGGGACTGAAACGGCTTCCGTTTTCAGAGCCAGACACCACAGTTGATCACTACCTGGCTGCACAAGAGAGGTGGCTTGATGACGACAGAGCCCATTACCATTATTGTGAAAACTATACGCATTTCTGAGCACATCATGGGTGTTGTCACTGCATGTTTAAGAGAGCATAATTAATCCTGTTTAATCAGATTTAGTGCAGTTTAAGATGTGAGATGTTGAATGAAAATCATGTTCATATATTTTTTAAAAATGTGGCACCACTAGCGCATTTTGTCTGTAAATCAAAATACGGTGATTCATGTATTGTGACATACTATTTTTTACCATATCACCCACACCAAAAACCTCAGCACATATTAAAATGTGTAGTGTTTGTGGTTTCATGTGGAAAAAAAAAACTGATTTGAATTCTTCAAAGTAAAGGAATATCTAATAAGTGAAGACCGGGAGAGCTGCCAGCTCACACAGCATGCTGCCGGTTTAACTGTACGGCTTGGCAGCTTTCTTTTAGACTCTCCACCCCAAAATGCGACCAGCTACTCTCAGCGACCGTCAAGGCAAAGTACAGTTCATTTCGAACATGCCCATTAGCTAGAGTAGGTGGGATAAATCAGGGCTGGAGGCAAACTGTGCACAGTGTGGGAGACCTAGGAGCAGATTTGATTACCACTGCATTAGGAGTTGTCCAACAAAAGAAATTTGGAGACCTCTTTGAATTACACTACCAATTTCATCATATTTCTTCTCTATTTCATTGACAGGGAGCATGACTTCTGGCCCTGTTTGCATATGGTATTAACATCAGTCTCGATCGCATATGGACGGCAAGATCTGTTTACACCCAGCATTTTCATTTGTCTTGGATGTGCCCCGAGTGACCACTTGTGATCGGATTTCGTGACTGGAAAAAGGGTACAGCCCACATCTACTACGTCAGACTCTCACTGTGTTTATTGTCAGACAGAAATGTCCCTTGTTTGTGTAAATCTTCAAGCTGTTGCACACATTTAGCTCAGGACTGCTTAAGCATCTTATAAACAAACGGTAGAAGAGAGGAAAACAAACTGCACCATTACTTTTAGCTATGTCATAGTTGATTAAGGCCACATTTTGTTGTTGTTAAGGACACTTTAAGATGCTTTAGCATTCACACTATAAATGTTATGTGGTCATATGCATCTGACCACCTCCAAAGGTGGTTTGAGAGATTGGATCACAATGCGTCTCTGAGACGCACTGGACCCTGTTCATATCTGCACTTATCACTATCTGCTTATGATCAGATTGCCCAGGATGCATGTTAATGGCAGATGTGAACAGAGCATCTAAGCATTCTTACCTGGATGTGCAGGAGCAGGGGGCGCAGCAGGGGGCTTGGCCCAGGGGTTAGTGTCTCTGGCTGGTAATGGGGGTGGCAAGGTCGGGGGGTTAGCAGCAGCAGTGACAGTGACAGCAGGAGCAGGGAAGGCAGAAGCTGAGCCATTCACTACAGCATTAGATATTAGAATAGATTAGAGACTGACAAAACAATGTATGGTGCAGACACACACACACACACACACACACACACACACACACACAAATCTACATCTATATCTCTCATATTTAATCAAACATATTTCATGTGCATAAAGGAAAAACTATCAGAGGAGACATGTTAAGAAGAAGAATGAGTTCTTGGTGAACTGTGAGAGCACAGAGAGCACAAGTGTTTTTGGTTCTGACCTGGTGCAGCCGGAGATTGTGGGGAAGAGGCCGGTTTGGGCATGGGTGCTGAGGAGAACGGGTCCTCCGGGGGGCCGCTGAAGGCAGACGTGATTTGAGTGCAGAGGGAACTGATGCTGTCCCCTTCACCTTCTACCTCCGGCACTGATGAACAGGACAACACAGGCTAAGACACAATGCAGATCACCTTTCCTGAGGCAAAGGCACTCACATGTATCTACATATTGGCTGTATCTATTCCAAAAACTGTAAATTAACTGAATGCAAAATTACTCTCATTTGTTGGTAATATAATCCACAGACATTACATTGTGTTTAGCAAAGTCTAATAACTATCACCGAGATAAATGTCAGCTGAAAATGTCAATCTACCACATAAAAACACCTTTACTGGGTTTATAAAATGTATTCATGAGCTGTTTTTGAGAGATAAAGTATTTTTGTAGCATTTATCCAAAAACAGAATCCTAATATCTGCATCAAAACTCCAAGGACAAAAAAAAATAATAAATAGCTTCATATTTTCTGTAATAGATGGTTCTGTATCCAATTATCTTAATGACAGCACAAATTCTGTCAGGTAAGGATTATACTTGTCTGTTGATACCTTGTCATTTGTATCTTCCATAAACTTTATGCTTCATATCCAAGCAGACAAAACAGTGATATTCCCATGTTCCAGAATGACCACTGTAGGGTGTCTGCATGTGACTGGTTTAAGAGACATGATGGAACACTGGGACAGAGTGACCAGCAAAAATCATCAGACCTCAATTCCAAGGCCCAACTTGGAAGAGCAGGTGAAATGTTGAAATATGCATACATAAATTTTGGCTGATGTGCACCCAGTTTTTGGAAGAGTGGGCCAAAACAGACAGGAACTCTCTCAAGAACAAGACTGTTGCTGTTTTTAAGGCGCTTGGACATGTAACCAAGTATGATGCATACAGTGAGCTGTATGTCACTACGGCTGAACACTGGACACGTTCAGCAACCCTAACCTGTATTTTTGATGGGGAAAGTCAGACTTGCGCTGCATGGTGGACGGCAAATCGTTCATGCGCAGTGACATCTGTCGCTTGAAGGGCGAGGTCTTCTGGCTCAGGGCCGGAAAGCCACGGAAGGAGCCCTGGCGTGCCAGCGCCTCCACAGGGGCATGGCGGCGCGGGATGGCGTGGGGATTGGCTTCCTGAGGGGCCATGGGCAGGGGTGGGGAAGAAGAAGGAGAGGAGGCTGCAACTGGATTCACTACGCTGCTGCCTGTGCTCCCTGTGACCGTTTCTGATTCTGCAGACATAAGTAGTGACGAGTTACTGAATTTACCACAAAACAAAACAAAACAAAAAAAATAAAACAACAAAAAATAACACACAACAGCACATGGCACAGCTGGAACTCAACCCTGAAGTGCTTTTGTTGGGTGTGCTAATGGGAGAGCAAATGGCTTTACTCAGTTTAATAACAATCATGTTATAGACGCATGCTGTTTAAGGCCAGCCAAACGACTAAGCCTGTTTACATCTTGTACTGACCTGAATAACCTGACAACTACAATCTCGTTCCAAATCCTTTCTAAAGGATATCTATTAAAAGAGGTATTCTATTTTAGTCCCTCTCACTAACAAACCTACCTTTCTTGGCATCCTGTAATTGCCGCATGACCTCCTCTCGCTCAGCCTGTTCTGTTGCCGTGGTAACACGGAAGGAGCCTTCGCGTGTGAACGTGGTACGGTTGGCGTCAAAAGTGGCCGTGACCCCACACTCTTTCTCTCTCTTCTGCTTTCGCTCCAGACACACTGCAAACGCACAGCCTACCGCATGGCTCAGGCGCTCGCCCTGAAACACGCACACATGCACATGCACACAAGGATCAGGCCAGTGTTTTTGCTCCTGCCCTATCTACTAGCAGAGCAAGAAGCTGCATTAAGAAAGTAAGTTAGCACAGAGTGACTAAGTGAAATAGGATTAGCACAGCAGTGGAAGGAAGGTCAGTGATTACTGCAGTCTATTCAACAGCACTGGGCCTTTAGCTCCAGTGGCACCAGGGCTAACTCCATTATCAAGTTCAGGAAGAGGACAGGGACAGCAGTGGCTGAACAAGGCTCAAGAAAAGGTCAGCACAGGAAAGAACGTCAATAGTGCGCATTCAGACTGGAAAAGGACTCATAATTAGATGAGGGCGCTTTAGATCATCAATGAAAGCATGAGCAGGCTGGGTTGGACTGAAGAGTGTTTGTCTTTCATCTTCAGCGCATCATTCAGTGTAAAAGGGAGCACTCACTGAATCTTTAACGGCCATGAAGCAGTGGCAGATCCAGCGGCGGGTAGTGCCATCTCTGCAGATGTAGGAGAACGCTCGTTCAAAGTTCCGGTCAGGAGCACAGAATGACACCTTTTCTATCGTCTGGTCCAGAATCAAATCCTGGAAGGAGGACAAGCAGAATGCATTCAAACTATTTTAACCATTTTCAACCTACAATGCTTTTCTACAGCCTTCAACATGGGTTAATTTATTGGCAATTACAAATTGCCACCTCCAGGTGGCAGAAAAACCCACATTACCCAAAGGTCTTCTGGACTTGTTGCCTTACATGTGGAGTGACTGTTTAAAATATAGTGTCAGCTAAGACAGAATACAGCTTGGATTGTTTACCTTGGGCAGAGGCTAAAACAAAAGTCCAGTTTTCTTATTAAAACTATTAAACTGCTGCTTTGGTTAGAGAGAAAGAAACCCATGAAAGACAAAAACAGCTTATAAGTAGTTTCAGAGTGATTTATCTGTCAAATATACTTCTTACTCAAGCAGTAGTATATTGGAATGCAAATTGAGTGTGTAAAAAGTAATAAGCAAAAATATGCGAAAAAGCAATGAGCACAAACAAGAATGTCTGCACTGTGCTCTACTTAACTCAGTGGCTTTAGGTAAGTGAATACAGATGTGAGTTACCTTTGTTTTGTCATCTACGACCCTCAGGCCATCAGCTGATACCCACAATACAGCTCTGACTGCCTTCTTTCCTGCCTATGGGGAGAGAGAGAGAGAGAAACAGAGAGAGAGAGAGAGAGAGAGAGAGAGAGAGAGAGAGAGAGAGAGAGAAATACAGTACAAAATGAGAAGGCCTGAGAGATGAATAAGGAAACTAGTTGTTGTGGCATAAGGAAACTAGTCCTTTCATACTTCTGATCTTTAAACATCCACACAGACACGTCTTCATCTACAAACAAATCCTGCAAACAAGAAACATCAATACCATTCTGAGATTTTTAGGAAGAGAAGAAGAATGTGAGTCAGTGTGTTCTGTGAAGGGACCCCTGTGAGAGAAGGGGAAGAAAATGAAGGACAGAAACAGCAACACTGCAAATGACACAGTGTCCCCCCACACAAACATACATACCCTCATTCTACAGTTAGGAGAAACAAGTATTCAGACACATTTGATTTTATTATTTAACGTACAACCACATTTTCAAAAAAGTTGTGACACTCTGCAAAATGTAAGTAGAATGAAATGATGTGCAAATCATGTAAACCCTGTATTTTAATTGAAAATAGTACAAAGACAACATGCCAAATGTTGAAACTGAGAAATTTTATTGTTTTTTGAAAAAATTCAAGCCTATTTTGAATTTCATGCATGTGATAGGTTCCAAAAAAGAAGGGGCAGGGGCATGTTCACCACTGTTGCAACATCTTTTAACAACATTCTGTAAGCATTTGGGAACTGAGGAGACCATTTGCTGTAGTTTTGAAAGTGAAAGGTTTTCTCATTCTTGCTTGATATAGGATTTCAGAACCCAACAGTTCGGGGTCTCCTTTGTCATATTTTTCGTTTCATAATGCGCAAATGACTGACAGGTCTGGACTGCAGACAAGCCAGTTTAGCACCTGGATGTTTTTTTTTTGGAGTAGCGCTTAGAGTAAACGTTATCATGACAGCGAACATCACGTGAGGTCCAGTCCGCGTGAGATGAGTTTCCAGTTGGTGCGCTTGTGTTTTAATTACTTTAAAATGTCAGACTCAGGAAAACGTCCTTCACATGTCCTTATACAGGAAAAGGTGAGAGGAAGACGTCGTGTTCTGAGACACATAAACTGGACGTCCGTCCCACCGCCGTCTTCAGAGCATAAACTTCGTCTCCTCTGCAGACCAGTTTCTGCTCCGCCATGCTGAATGGTATAAACTTTTGCCATGACCCAACGCACATGCGCAGAACATACTTACACGTTCCGATTGGAATGTAATCGGATTCAGGCGTTTACACGGCTATTATTCTTCTATTTAACGGATTATTTAGAGGTTTACCCACCTCGTTCAATCGGATAGAAATTACATTCCGAATGGCCTCAAACGTATTTTATTCCGATTGAGCTATTAGTCCGATTATTAATGGATTATCAGGCTTCATATAAACGTGGTTATTGTCTTGCTGAAATAAGAAGGCCTTCCTTGAAAAAGACATCATCTGGATGGCTGCATATGTTGCTAAAACTTGTAAATCACCACTCAGCATTAACGGTGCCTTGACGGATGAGCAAGTCACCCATGCCATGTGCACTAATGCACATCCATAACATCACGGGTGCTGGCTTTTGAACTGTGCGCTGATAACAAGCTGGGTGGTCCTCAGCCCAGAAGACAAAGTGTCCATGATTTTCAAAAAGAATGTCAAATTTTTATTCGTCGGACCACAGGAAACTTTTCAACTTCAGCTCAGTCCATTCTGAATGAGCTCGGGCCTAAAAAAGGTGGTGCTGTTTTCTAGATCCTGTTTATATATGGTTTTCTCAAATACGAGTTTTAACTTGTATTTGTGGATGCAGTGACAAACTGTTTTCAGACAATGGTTTTGTGTGTTCCTGAGCCCGTGCAGTGATTTCCACTACAGAACGATGTCAGTTTCCAATGCAGTGCTGCCCGAGGTCCCGAAGAACATGGCCAGCCAATATTGGTTTTTGGCCTTGTCTCCAGAGATTTCTCTTGATTCTCTGAATCTTTTAATGATACTAATGTACTATAGACGATGAAAGTTCTTTGCTATTTTATGGTGAGAAACATTATTCTTGAATTGCTGCGCTATTTGCAGTCTTTCACAGAGTGGTGAACTCCTCCCCATGTTAACTTCTGAAAGACTCAGGCTCTCTGGGATGCTTTTTTTTTATACACAATCATGTTATTTTTTTTATTTTATTTTATTTTTTTTAGCATTACACAACTTTATCAGTCTTTTGTTGCCTCGTCCCAACTCTTAAAATGCATTGCAGGCACTGAATTCAAAATGGGCATATATTTTTCAAAAAACAAAACTTCCAAGTTTCAACATCTGATGTGTTATATTTGTACTATTTTCAATTAAATATAGGGCTTAAATGATTTGCACATCACTGAATTCTGTTTTTATTTACATTATTTTTTTGAAACGGGGTTGTACCTCCAGTGCATATGGCTAGAGCTGAATCACTAACTGTTTTCAAATCAAAATTCTGAAATCAGAGGGACTCTCGTAATCTTGGGATATTGAAGGCAAAACTGAACTACAACGCTGCAAAAAGCTAATCACTTCTTACCATAGATGTCTCAAAGCTGTAACTGAAAACAATGACTTTGGACCTGAAGTACTGATGTTATAGATTTGTGGTGTGTGAACACACCCTTCTGTATTATCGCAATGCACAAGATTCTTCTGATCTAGCTGTATTTTCTATTTTCTTTTTTTTTTGGGTGGTGTCATTATGAAACAAAAGCTTGGTGTATTATGTCTTGGATTAGTTGCAGTATTTATTTATACCAATGTGCATGCAAATAACTACATCCACTTTGTACTGGATTGCCATGTGCTCAAATTATTATTAGTATTGTTATTTTCCAATTTTATTTTATTATTGGTATTATGGATGATACTGATAATAGCTTTGGTTAGTTAACTGCAAATCAAGCAATTTTAGGTTGCTAATCATTTAAGCTAAAGATGAAACTGACAAATAATAAGTGTCAGTGAGTGATTTTACAAATCAGATGTGACCATATGCAACTTCGATGAATAACAGCCACTGTGTGTAAAACAGCAGTGGATACATGCACTGGACATTTATCAAATAACAAAAACAAAAGTGTCTGAACACTTGTTGCCCCTTAATGTACTTTAAACTATATTTCTCTCTCTCTCTCTCTCTCTCTCTCTCTCTCTCTCTCTCACACCCTTCATACAGAAAGAGACAAAATGAGGTCCACTTTTTCCTGTTGTTTCAGAAGTGACTGAAGAGTGAACAATTAAGAGAGGGAAGGACACACACAAACACACACACACACACACGCACACACGCACACACACACACGCACGCACACACGCACACACACACACACACACACACACACACACACACACACACACACGCACGGCCCCACACCGCAAAACTTACTTTTGTAAAGAAGCCCTTGAAGAACTTTCTGTCCTGGAATTGAAGATTTGGTAAAGGGATGTTGGGGGGATGGGATGGGAAGGACAAGGCAGGACAGTGTTACAGATGGTGCTACTCAAAATCCTGTGTCCAAATAACACAAGGGGTGTATGTGGGGGCTAGTGTGGCGGGGGGAGGGGAGAGGAGAGGTTTGTAGGAACTTAAATGGTTAAGAGTGGATGAAAGAAAGCAAACGAATAAAGTGAAAATCACACACCTCTAGCTGTGAACAAGGCCACAATCTCAAAATGTAAATCATTCACTGTAAATCTTGTTGATCACATCACAGGTGTTGCTGTTTTTGGTGATGTTATGTAATATTACTATATATTAGTGTTATTATTACTGTTATCATTATGTTAGTGACGTGCCTACTGGCAGCAGTGGGGACCATCACCAAGTGCTTTGATGTCCACTATGTCTGATTCTAGACCACATCTAAACTATGACATCAAAAGAAAGTCAAACACTTGACTGGCCAAACTACAGGAGAACCTTATGTGGCTCAGTCCTTCAGTTTGGTTTCAATATAATTCTACACATATACTGAAACACCAGCACCAGCACAGAGACAGGATGGAACAGGGAAGCTGAAGTTATGTTACATGTGTACATTTTACATTTTATGAAATTGAAAAGTTGCGAAATTCATCCTGTGATCTGCAGACTGTAGCTCCCTGTGTTGGACAACATTATACCACAGTTGGTTCTGACTTCACAATGCAATTGGCTGAGAGGCATTTCAGTGTATCAGTAGTTCCAGACATAGGTGGAGGTCTGCTACCTTACCTGAGCCTGAAGAGACCCAACAAAATATCTGGCTTCGGGCCAGGTTCAGGCTGATTTTTATTTTTTATATAAAACATTGGGAGCGGGTCAGTTTTTTTTTTTAAATGTGATTTTTTAAAGTAGTTGACCCTTGTTTATTTGAAGAAATATGCCTAAAGAAATTTCATGCAGAGTCATTTTCTCTTACCCTCTACTGTTTTAGTCTATAGCTGTGCTTGGAATAACTCTAGAGTTTGAGGGGTGGGTGAACATGCCCCTGAACGAAAGCGAGGATGAAGTTCAGCAGGGCATCAGTCGCAAGGACAGCATAGACAATGACAGGGATGTGTTGTATTAGTGGAAAGATCACGGTGGATCTTTCCACCTTGCTTGTTAAGCTCACCCCAACTGTGTTAAGCATTTCTGCAAGAAGCAGCAGCAGCGAGAGGAACTTTAGAGCAGTGGGGCAGAAATAAGAGCAGGGTGGTTGCTGTTCTCTATCAGGTAAGACTGGAGATTTCATGAAAATACACCAGTTTATCATAGCAAGGCATTTTTTGTCAGTGAACTCAAATGCTTAGTAAAAGTAAACTACTGTGAACCATGTCAGAGACCATCCCACCTATTAGTGCAGTACCAATCAGACCTGGTCAAGTTAGGTCTCAAATTCGTGGGTATAGGTCGGGTTTAAGCTTTAGTCTGTCCAGACCTCTAAATATTAACATCATTTTAAAAAATTCTAATTATCACCTAATTCACTTGTCACCTAGCAACAGCTATAATTTACTGGAACTACTTGCAGAATGTAAACACTTGCTTGTTAAATCAATTTTGTCATCACTGTCTTCAATAACAAAACTGTGGTATAATTGCAATAATTCACTTGAGGCCATGCTATACCATGATGTGCTGATCTACTGTTCTTCGGCCTTGTGCCTATGATCACAGCATATCAGTGCCAGTACCTCATGATATAGCACTTCCTCTCATGTAATTATTCCATCTCTCTCTTTGGTGAGCTAACCAACAAACCCTTAACATATGCTTTGGCAGCAGCTTACCCGTTTCAGCCTCTAAAATCATTCTAAACTGGTACAAGCTGCCACCGAGCCAGGGGTTAAGGGTATGTTATGTCTAATGGAGAGAAGGGGTTAAGGAACCATTAGCCATACACACAGAATGTAAGTGTATGAGTCATGCACTCTCTCACACAGCTACAGGAGAAAAGCTACGATCATTAGGTGAAGGATGTTCAGCTGGGGGACGTTAGGGGCTGAGGGGGTATTAAAGAGGCTCTTTGTGGGTCATTGTGATCACAACCTGCTTAAAAAAATATAATACATACATTCAACATTTACATGAGTACATACACAAGAACACAAATGCAAGGGATGACTAGGAATGCTAATAACATAGGCATGGAAAGGCCTGTACAAAGCTGATGGTAGTATGACAGAAGAAATGAAGAGCACAGTCACTGAGTCAGAGCTAGAAAGCTTGTCACAGGTAGGACATAATAGACAAAGGCTAGGACAAAATAGAGGAGATAAAGGACTACTAACAAAAAGGAGATGAAAGTCAAACTGGAATCTAGATGTGAAAGAGAGAAGTGAAGTCCCTGTATCTTTCTTATGCTGATACAACAAATAATGTCTGGTTGACAAAAAAAGGCCTGGAGAGTTTCTGGTTCTGTTCAATAACTGAAGCTTAACAGGGGAAGCTCTGCCTGAAGAAACAATGTTATCTATATTAGCACCACTCAGGAATAAGGTATTAGTCTAGCAACAGGAATGTATGCTACAACTTGCAGGAGCCAGGAAGTAACATGACAATCAGCAGAACAGGGAGTGACGTGTCAGTTGTCAGACTGCGTGATGTCACACTGCTGTCTCCTTCCTCAATAGTCTGAGTCAGAGAGCAAAGAATGCTTACTCATCCAATTCACTCACTCAATACACACGCACTCACTCACACACACACACGCACACAGCCCTGGTAACAGAGTAAACAAACTGATATAACCTCCCTTTGCTGTCACACACAGTAAACCATTCCCTTCCACCAAATCAGCCCCTGTGCTTCAATTAAACACCTACATGTTGAGCAAGGTATCCAATTATCTCTGCACCAACAGTTATCTAACACACACACACACAGCTGTGTGGATCTTTATCAAGGGTCAGAAGGAGGCCTCTCATTATAGCTTGCCCAAAGCCAGCTTGTGTGCAAAGTTCTGGGCAAAGTTCAGCAGGCAGCCCAGAGCATGTAAAAAGTAGCCTGAGCGAAAAGACAAAAAACAAAAGCAGGATGACATCAATGAACACAAGTGTGCATTTAAGACACATTGGCTTCCAAGAACCGAGTGGCCCGGCTCAAGCAAGAGGAAATCTCATAGTCCAAGAGGGTCAGGGAGACATTCCTACTTACACACCCATATGCACCCAATTGTCATTTTATTAGGTACACCTACCATGTATCTACATTCATTGCTCATTTTATCAGGTTCTTTTACCATATAGATGCACTTTGTATTTCTACAACTGAAGGGTTTTGTTTTATGCATTACAGAACACACAAGAGTTTTCTTTTTTTCATGATATAGGTTGTTGGGAGCGGGTGTTCCAAATACAAGAAATTTCAATGTCGTATTATGATTAATATCACCTTTATTAGAGAAATAAAAATGTGTTTTCTATTACTCAACAACTGTTCTTCTCAGAAAAATGTGCACATCCAAAATTGTGACAATGGATATTCAGCATTTTGGAATTAAATTCTTCAATTACAGACTGTATTCCATCTGTTTCTCTACCTACTGTAATGGCTGTTCACATAATGGTCACGAACCCCAGAGGACCACCACTGAGCAGGTTTTTTTCTGGATCATTCTCAGCACTGCAGTGATGCTGATGTAGTAGTGACTTCTGTGTGTGTTGTGCTTTTACGAGAGAATCAGACACAGCAGTGCTGCTGGCATTTTTGAACACTATGTCCAGTTCACTGTTCACTCTATTAGACACACATATCATGTTGAACTACCTTGTAGATGTACAGTTAGTGAAAGGATGCTGTAGGATGGATATTTTTGGTTGGTGGACTGTTCTCAGTTTAGCAGTGACATGGAGCTGTTTAAATAAATCCTGCAACACTGTCATGTGTGGTCACACACTTTCCAAATAATATCTACTCTGTGGTGGTCCTGTGGGGATCCTAAGTAGTGGAGTGTGGAAACAAGGTTGGTGTACCCAACAAACGTATATACAAATACACATTTGCACACATACTCTCATCCAAATTTCCTTCCACCTCTTGTTCTATATTACAGGGTGAGTAATTTAATTATTTGCAAGCTACTACCATCACCATTAGCACCTCATTTAGGCCAAATTAGAGTGCAATGAGAGACAGCAATCATGTGCTTATTATTGGTATTAGTGCATATGTATGTTATGGCACATCACAGGGCAAAACATGCCCAGAATTATCCGCATATGGACGCAGCAGTGATAAGAAGGTAGCGTGCTTAAGCATAAGCATGTAATGTGTGTTTACGCAAAGTCTACTGTCTCTTGATGACCGTGCTTGGCTGTTTTATTGAGCCATGTGAGTTAAAGCTTGAGATAAAGTGAAGGAATCTCATCGGCTAGTTCAGGATCAAACGGTCAAAGAGTAATTCAAACGTGGAATATGTTTTTATTATGTTAAACACAATCCCTCCTGCCACATCAGAGGAAATCCACAAATGGGAGTTTATGTAAAGATAGCAGAGGCCATCTGCGGCCTTAAGACTTCAGGCTCATATCTATCTGTTTCGTTTCTTTACTCTACACACTATTGGTTCTGTGAAAGAAAAGTTTCCTGGCTTGAGACTCCTGCACTACCTAGTGTGAGCAGCATAAAGACAAGAGAGCAGGAAAGGGATAGGAAGCAATGCAAGGATACCGACACACAGAACAGGACTCAATCAAGTAGACTTTCTACTGAATATTATGATTGAAGGAAGTAAAGAAGGAGAAAAGGTAAGCAGACAGAAAAAGGATGGAAAGGGAAAGAGTGCAAGCATGAGAGAAACTGGGCCGCAAGCCACAGTCTCCATTAACCAGCAGCAGAATGGCCTTCTAAAAGCAGCCATCATCTTTAAGCCTGCAGCACTAATGCCATTAAAAATGAGTCTCCTGCCAGCAGGACAGTCACTACTTCTCTCACCTTCCTGGAGGATCTGAGGGAGTCAGGCAGAGAGAGCGCAAGAGAGCGAGGTATTGCTGTGGCGCTACCAAATAGTCAACATTTGCGTTCTATCAAACCTAACTTCTAACCTGGGTGGAGCAGGCGTGCTAAGTCTTGTCAACGTGGAAAATGGATAGTGCAATGGGTTTCCTTCCCCCTGAGATATGGCATGTCTTCCCTTTTACAAAAGGTCCCTGTGGACTATGGCCAAACAGGAAACTCACGCCTTTCTGTCCCCAGGGATGCTTTGCAGGAGAGCTGGGTGACAGGCTGGCACGTCCAGTGAGGCATCCGCTCACGTCACTGGACGGAGCAGACGTCTCAGGGCAGGGTGGAACACTCAGCCAGACGTGGGTGGTGGAGGTGGGCAGATCCAGCACAAGGTGACCTCATGCTACGAGGAGCTGAATGGCCACCAGTTCTGTAACTCTTTCTTACTGACTTCCTCTCTATCCTGCACAACTTTGCATCTGTGTCATATACATGTAACAAAAGCGCTGACTTGCTGAAGGAAGTGCGGGGCGTGGCAAGTTTAAAAATGGAACAGACTGTTGCTCTAGAGGTTTGCACACTAGGCAGCAAACTTAACTAAACTTGATAAGGGCCAGGCTTCACTTAGCTAACTAATGGACCATAACAGATAACAGAGTAAGCATTTATATTTAAGTATCATGAGATTGCAGTTTACTGGAATCATCTGCAACTGGCATGCAATGATAAAATGACCAAACATGGCAAAGCTGAAAATATGTATGTTGTGTGGTTGATGGGGGGGGATGTGTTCGCCATAGAGTTTTTTTTTCTCTGAATAAACCGATGACAGACATGAGGGGACTGATCAGACTGTGGCTGATGACGAGGGGTTATAGGTATGGGGACAGAGGAAGGATTCAGGAGAAAGCCTGCAGGTGCCTACAGGAGCTGGAGGATTCCAGCGTTTCACTGAACCTAAAACAGATGAGAAGTGTGCGATTCACCCTTTGAAAGCAAGGAACTACTACAGGGGGAAAAAGAAAACAAAAACAAAACACACACACACATACATACATACATATATATATATATATATATATATATATATATATATATATATATATATATATATATATATATATATATATATATATATATATATATATATATATAAATCATAAAACAAAAGCAGGTACAGGGATTAGATGGTATTAGTAGACAGACCCTAGCATCTGTGTCTATTGTGAGAAAGAAATCAGTGCAGCAGAGAGGTCCTGGCCTGTAGACAGCAGAGCTTTGTGCAGTAGACACCTACCGTCTTCAGCCTCTTCACTGCATCTTCACAGATGTGCATGCCTCGAGACTCCTCCACCTCCACATGGCCCAGATACTGCAGAGACGGGAGAGAGACATGAGAGAGGAGAGAGGAGAGAAAGGAGAGAGGAGAGAGAGCAGAGAGAGAAGAGAAAGAAGAGAGAGAAGAGAGAGAACAAAGTTTAGCTATGTTGGAGGTAGTGACAGGCTGTGATTCATCTTCCCCCGCTCCTCCCATCAGAGTCACATTGCCAGACTTTTTGCTTGCAGCTAGTGGACCAGTGGCCGCTGTCACTCAGAGAGAGGAAGCCATCTTCTACCCACAATGCCCTCTCACAAGTCCCCACTGACTGTGCCTCACCCCACGGCCCGGAGGGAGATCGGAGATCAGGCAGGGAGGCATGCGGCTATTGTGTGTGTGGTGCCGAGAGGAAGTCCTATCCCTTCCCTTAATGAACATACAAAGTTCACCCTCCCCCCAGGACCCCACCCAGTTCAGGCCTTCTTATAGCTATTCTCAGATCATGACACATACATAGAGGTGGTGGGCAATACAGCAAAAATATAACATCACGATACCTGAAGACATTTTCACGATACATGATATGCATCACAATATTTAGTCTGTCTAAGTTTTGATAAGTTGGAACTAACAGAAAAGAACCACAAAGCACTTAAAAATACTATCAAAAAAGTGTAAAACGATGGATTTTATTTAGCACTTCACATCACTAAATTCATCAAAGCAGGTCTGATTAGTCCCTTGTTGTAATGAAACACGCAGTTGGTCAGTGTTATTTAAGAGTATATCTATAATATACTCATAAATTGTGTGACATAAAATATTTCACTAGAGTGATTATTATGCTTCACATCGCCCACCCCTACACAGCGGATAAAATGAATAAGTCTGAACACATACACGCAAGAAAAGACTGACAGCTAGCTAGGTCTGAAAAATGACACGTTTTTATATCGAAATTGCAATTTAAAGAATGCAATTTTCCAATTTCAAGAGTTAATCAACTCAAGTTATTTTTTTATAGCCTACATTATCAATAACACAGTCTAAGTAAGTTTTAAGTGGGGAAATTTAATCCTAATGACACTGAGCTTGTGAACTGCTTGCAGCTGAGACCAATCAGAGGCAATGCTCCAGAGTTGGGACATTACAACCACAACTAACTGGCAGTCTGGCACAGCATGTTCAGTGTTCAAGCCTTCACTCAGAAGGAGTAGATATGCTGGTGTTCTTGGCCCCAAGAAGCAGGCCTGGAGCTCAATTAACAGTAAATAGTCACAGTCACAATACTGGCAAGAAAAACTGCAATTAGATATTTTCACGCAAATCGTTCAGCCCTACAGCTATCAGCTTGCAGTGACTTTCAAAGTGCAGTCATTAGTTCACACTTTGCCTTTCCTTGTAGTCCTCTGCACAAAAGTCAGACACTTGTGGAAGAATGGCAAAATAGGTCTTTGAGTCTAGCCTCATTCCAAAACAGAAGCCACCCATCTGACACTGCTATTTATACCTGGCTCTGAACCAGTTATTGAGCATGAGCAAGAAAACCAGCTGCCTATAGCCACGTGAGCAGCCATTTTCCATTCAGTCTAAACAGGACAGAGTTATGAGTTACCACAGAGAAAAATGCAGATATCAGCCTACTTTCCAGCCACTCTATCCAAAAAGACACACTGGCTCAGCTTTTGCTGAGCATCAGCTCAAAGAATCAGAAGTCCTACTCAGGGTATCCTTGTTATAATTGCATACCAAGAATAAGCTGAAGCGCCACATGACTGAACTCGGTCCACTTTCTCACAGTTCCAAATCCGTTAAATGAGATGAGTATCAAATTCAATGTCTCACACAGAGACGCTCTCTCACACACACGCTCTCACAAACTGTTTTAGTCCCTTGTGGCAGGATAAACTGCAGTCCAGAGGGAATGCTGCACTGGTGTAATGAGCGTGGAATTGGGCTTTTCCTTTTCACTCACCTCACACTGCAAATGTTTATGAGGGGGAAGTTTCACACCACACAGACTGGCTGCAGACCCATTTCACAGACCCACTGCCCACTTCCACTTTCTCTCCCTTTTCCTTTCTCTCTCTCATCTTTTACCACCCCAACCCCTCTGTTTAAAAGGCACCAAGCAGTAATCTCACTTCAAATATTTCAACCCACACGGCTCCTCAGAGAATGAGGGAGACACACGGAAAGAGACAGAGATGTAGAGACAAAAAGGGGAGGGGGAGAGGGATGAATGCACAAGGCTAGCAAGGTAGGTTGCATTAGCACAGTGAGAGAGAGAGTGAGGAGACAGAGGGAGGAGGGAGAGGACAGACTTTGCTGTTCCAGAAACAGCACTTTGCTTCTGCTGTCTAATGAAGGTACAAAGCCTTACAAGCAAGTTGGTAAGACAAGTAAACCCTGAAATGACACCAACCTATAAGGCTATAAGCAATCAAGAAGAGGTAGAGGATTGCGTGCAAAAAGTGAGATGTCTCAAATGTTAGTAGTATTGAGGTAATTTATGATCAGCAGCTGGGAGAAGTTAGGCGAACTCACTACTGACAGCACAGGAATCTGGGCCATGGCAGAGGTACACACAGTAATATCACCAACATTCACATAATACCTACAGTCTACTCTGATATCAGTTTCACTGCATAGTGTACCAGGAGTAGGTGTACAAAAATATGACAGTTTAAGATAGTCGCGATTTACAAAACGTATCACAATATTTTGTATTTCTGAGGTTTGACAAGTTGCAACAGATGTAATACACCAGTAGTGCCATCAAAAATTACAAGGACAATGGAAACACTAATGTTAGCCTAAGTTAATTCTTCAAAAGGAATGATTCAGGAAAACTGCTTCATTTAGTTTCATCACAATGTGAAGTGTAGATGGCAGAGGCCCAACTTTCATCACTAGCCTTTACACTTAAAAATGATGGTTCATCAAGGGTTCTTTTCGTGAAGAAAATGGTTCTATATAGAACCAAGAAACCAAGTGTTCTTCTATTGTTACAATATCAGGCTTTTTACAATACAAGAACTCTTGTTAGTGCTAGACACTAGTGCTTTTTTTGTCAATCTGAAGAACGCTTTTATGATGCAAAGAACCCTTTAATCATGCAATGGGTTCTTTGAGTGTTCATGAAAGAACCATCATTTAAGTGTGTAGTTAAATATTCTTTAAGCTAAAATACAGTCTGGTTTAACAGAACTGTTTTTTTTTGCAAGAGATGTTTAGTTTTACTGAATGGAATGCATTCTCCACACATACAATGTATGTTTACATGCATAATTAGAGTTTTTGCTAACTTTTGTTACGTCCTTGGACAACAACAACAACAAGGCTCGTTGTCTGTCAGACGATGTTGGTGAGCGCACAATCAGCCCCTACTTAGAGCTCCACCTTGGCGTTAGATTGGTTTAGAAATTTCCCGCTCAGTTTGTTCTCACACTAGTAGGTCTACATTCTCACCCACATGTAGCCCTAAATCTCTTAAGGTTGTCCCCAGATGTTCTCACTACAAGACTATACATCTAACTTAGCATAGACAATTATGTTCTCTTTGACTCCCAGTACTGCAGAGATTCAAACTTTTGATCTCCCGACAACAGAGCAAGACCATAGAGAGCTACGCCACTTTAAACCTCTTGTAAATGAAACGTGCAGTTAGTTAGCATTGTGAAAGAACTGATAACATCCACAATATCCTTAGAAAAGCAAAACACAATTTATCATGACAACAACATATCTCCATTATCATCCACTCCTACAGCATGGGTATTCAACTGCCATCCTGGAGGGTCAGGGTCCAGTGCAGTGATAGGGGATTTTCCTACTTAAACATGTCCACTAAATCCAAACAGATAAGTTGAATGCAGTGAACGAGGTGTGTTTAAGCAGGAAAATCACCAAACTGCGCTGGGCTCTGGCCCTCCAGTACTTTCTTGGTTGAGGTCTGTCATCTCCTCTTGATAACAACAAGCCAAACAATAAACAGTAGTGTGCAGCTTTAAAATCTGTTTGACCTGGGCTGATTTTTCACCTTACTTCTTGTCTCCTGCCTGCTCAAAAACATCACATGACTCCCAGCATTACTCCTACCACCATCACCCGCTCTTGACATCCTCTGACCCCTCCCTGGTCGGCAGAAGTGACAACACACATATACACATGAGCAGGAGAAGCAGACCATCTCTACTCTGTGTTGCCAAAAGCCTGGACTGTGTTGCCCCAACAGGCTGTGAGCTATGCTGTGTGTGGACAGGCAGCAGTGGGCCTCGATGGGAGCGGCTGACAGGGAGGTGGAAAGACCAATAGGCAGGCTGGTGAGGTGAGGGCATGAACAGTTCAGACAGAAAAGATAGCTGCAGGAGGAGAGCCACTCAGACAGGGCGCTCTCTCGGAGGGCTGCCTGCGTGGTCGCAACAGGGGTACAAGCAAGATCTCAGATCATTACTAACATATTTGAGATTACTGCTCAAATTTATCGTGCTTCAAATGGTATAGCAATTTCTTATTATGTATTTGGCACCAAGCTTTTTTCTTATCATCTGAAAATGCACAATGCTCCCACACTGCTGATTCATTTGAGGCATTTGTCCATTGTAATTGGTTGTGTGCCAAGACATCATGGATGCGCAACACAAATTTATTACACATTAACCTTCCAGGTATTTATTGGCTTATTTATTTCCAAACCTTTTAGGCTATTGAGCTTATGGCACACTGAATTTTCAGTGGCAAATAAAAGAAAATGCGAACAATAAACAGCCCAAGTACACTGAAGCTAGACATTTTTGAGTTCTGAAATGCTGACAGGGCTGCAACATAATGTGACGTCATTCTGTGCCATCAGTGGGAATCAGCATCAGTGTGTTTTACAGTGCGTCAGGTGGTTGGGAGACAGAGAGAGAGGCACAGAGAGGTAGAAACAGAGATAGACAGTGACAGAGTGTATGTGGAGTGTATGCCACTGACAAAATCACCTTGACTGCGAAGCTGCACTTGCCGCTGCGCACTGCCTCCTCGTCTGTCTGCCACTGGTGCGGTCTGCTGGACTCGGGCACGTACACATCTTTCTTGCGGCGGAAGCTCTGCCGTAGCTTATTCATGGTTTAGCCTCCTCCTACACAGGAAGAGAGTGGAGAGGAAGTGAGGGTGGGAGACGTGGACACACTGCTGTGTGGGAGAGCTTTTCACTGTATGTGATAGTGATGTGGCCCATGGCTCATGTGGTCTGAAGAATTCAGATTCAAATTTATTGCCCCTTAAATAAACACAACATACACATATAGTAGCCCTTAAAATGATTTCCTTCCCTGCATGTGATAGTGAAATGGTCACACCTACAGTTCCTATGCAGAATTCAGCTTAGAATTAGCCATTCATTTTGGAACAGATCTGAGGCCTCAGCTTCGCCTTTTGACACAGCAAACCAACTGGGCTGCAGTCCAATTCAAGCTAAACTACAGAATATTAACTCTACGCTACATGCCTTTAAGTGCCATCACACATACTTTATCATAGCGTATCTAGACAACATCTACCCAGACGCAGCGTGAACACCAACACATACACACTAAGGAGTGACTGGTATATGCGGCAGGAAGTCAGATTAGCAGAGCTGTCACCTGCAGAGACAAGTGGTGTAGAGACAGTGACACAGCCACTATAAAGCAGGCACTCTGCCCCTCTGATAGCCAGCAGCACTGATTAAACTCCAGCATGCCAGGCCCTGCCTCTGTGAATGCTAACAAGCATGGAACCAATGCATAGTGGAGCAGCTCTTAGAATGTGGGGAGAGAGAGGAGAGAGAAAGAGAGGAGAAAACAAACAAGCTCATATTTAGTAAATTATACCTTCAACAGATTCTAAATTGTTTTTTGTTAAAAACATTAAAATGGTTAAGCATACAGCATTTTGTACTTATCTGATGCAACATCAGATCATTTGATGATATACATTCATGTTGGGGAGACGTGTTAGAAGACAATCTATGTATGGATTATTACAACAGATTTATCTGTTTAGCAAGCAGTTAAACTGTTTACTGGAAAAATTAAATTGAGGTGAACTTCGGCCTATTGCACCATCCTACAGTCTCTTTTTCTGTTAGGAAAACGAATTGTTTAGATCATCTAAAGCATTGATAAAATGATCAACAGATTAATCAACTACTGGATTGTCTACCTACCCTATAGTTGTCACTTTTACTTCCACAACTCAGAACACATCAGGATGTCCAGTACTGTGTGAAAGTATAACCGGTTTCAAAACATTTATCTAAACAACAACTGAATTTTTGCTTGTAAAAGCACCACACATGAAATCAATACTTATCTAATACTGTTTGTTTTATTCCGATATTAGTGCTTTTCTAAACAAAAAAATGTTCACATACTATACAAATTGTTAAATTTAATTTCCTCAGGTGGCTGAAACTTTTGTACAGTACTTTGTGTCTCCATGCTCACTTGTAACTTAATACTTTATTTAAAATTCAGCCGTTCAGTCGAATGTAATACTTTTCATTCAAGGCCAAAAACACAGGGCTTAAACAGCAGTTCTCAGATATAAGCTGCTCCCAAATTATATACTCTGCTAGTCCAAGTGTAATAGCTTAAAACATAAAAGTTATTCTAATCCTGTACTGTGATACAGGAGAGTTCTGATACCATCATAATCCAATTCACAAATCTACCTCAAAGTACGCCTTGATCTGATTGCGATACTGTCACTCATTCTGCCATCACAGCATGTAAGCTGCTGTTAATACTCAACATGAGTGATAAGCTGTATTGCTTAACAATGCATTACCAACAGTGCACTTTCAGCAGTTGGTACATTACCCTAAAGCAGAAGGCCATCAAGGTTAACTGAAAATAAAAAATAATCAGTATACAGTTTATTGGCATATTGGTTTGCCTTGATTATTATTTAATCTGGTCAGAGTAATTTTGTTATTTTGTTCTGGTGCGCTTTATATTTATTTTCTACTCAGATGAACTTTACTCTGGAAATCTGTATACAAGTACTTTACCTCAGTGAATGAACAAATTACTTAACTTCTAGCATACATACATAGATATTTGCTATACACTGAAGAAACTGAGGTGGTAAAAATGCTGGATCAGCTGCTTTCCACAGTGCTAGCATTTTTAGGAGCGTTCAGTAACATTGCTGGGTTGTAGGCTACCTGTGTGAAATGGGCCAATGAGTGCAGATCTGCAGGGGAGAGAGCAAAGAGCTCATATGAATGAGCCAGAAGGAAGGACTAATTCAAATGCACACACACACACAAGGCTGCGGTCAGCAAAGCCACAGACAAACACCTTCGTCTGAAAAAGGAAAACTACAAACACTGCATCGTAAAAACCTTTGCCCAGAACACCGCGTGTGTGTGAGCTGTGAGCCAGCGGAGGCACGAGAGAAGAATCCCATCAGGGGCTGCTTCCTTATCTCCCTGTCACACACCCGGCCTCTCAGGCTCTTCGCACTGAGCTCACACTGCTGGCCCTGTCTCCAGAGAATTACTGCTGAAATCATGCTCACTTACACACACACACACACACACCATAGCGCAGCTTCGTGCATAAACAGGTCAACCAAACACATTCAAACATGTATAGTAATATACATGTATTATTAATACATTCCTGTCCAGAATAAACCAGCCATGTACAGCTAAATTAGTAAATATTCGATTAAATACAATAACTTGATTCTCAAAGAAACCTTCTCAATGAAATCAAACAATCAATAGTTAGCAATTTGCCTGTTGATGTAGCTTTTTTTATTTTACTCTTAGTGACCTCTTGTAGCTGCCTGATGGTACTTCGACATACAGTACTTGAGTACAGTACAGTACAGTGCAAAAGTTAGGGATCACTCTTCATTTATTTCATTTCCAGTCAATACTTCCATTAGGTACAAGTTATTCTTATTATTATTTTCAGCGTCAGGAAAGCAGGAAACACATATACCAGAAAATTACATAGAAGCATCAACGACTAAATATAATACAAACTATTAGATGTGTCCTCCCTTTGCCTTAATTACATCTTCCATTTTTATCCAGACACTTCTGTTTTCAAAGGAATCTTCAGGAATATTTCTTCCACACCTCCAAAGTTTAGTAATCTCAAATACTTTTAGTGATGTTGAGGTCTGGGCTCTGAGGTAGACAGTCTTTTTTGAGAACATTAGCAGCTTCTTTGTTTGATGTTCATTTTTTTCTTTTTTTAATTTCCTTTTCTCAGCAATGGCTTCTTCGACACATCCTTGAAATGATACACAGATATGATTTTTGATCCTAATATCAAGACTTGATTCAACTTTTGATAATTTATGTGTTTAAAGTATCTTGATTCTGGATTTCTTGATTTACACAGACTGGTTTGGCCCATACTGGTTTTGGCCATACCAGCTTTCTGACAAAATCACAACCCCAAAATCATTGCAATCCTAAAATTTATAAGCAGCTTTGAGGGTGTATTTGTGTATATAGCATTAGCCTTTCTCCGTCTCCTCTCTAAGGCATCCAGATGACTAGTTTTGATCACTGCCTGTAGCTTCTATAAATGACAGAAAATGAAAGCCTATCAGAAGAGACAGAGGGGCTTATAAGTGATATGGTTTTAAATTTCATTTTGTTTAATTTTCAACATTTTTTCAATACGGTATAGATATTATTACATGTTTATTTTATATTAAGTGTATTTAACAATGTCCTAGTTAACATTTTCCAATAAAGTATCCTGGAACCGTTGAAAGGCTATGCATGATGCTACTGTTCAATTAAGTCCATTTTTACTTCTTGGCATGTAAATCTCTGATTACTCAATTTTGTCATCAAAATAATCAGTAGACTACTCAAACACTTACACAATTAATACTGACAGCCCTAAACTAAAGACTGCTTTAGATTTGAAATCCATATTCACTAAAGTCACTTCACTAATGCAGGGGAAACTGAAATGTTCTATAAAAACCTTAAAATCGCTAACACTAACAGGAGGAGGAGACATACAAGTGGAATATAATATGAATGATAAATGTTTGTGTGTGCGTCACAACAACTACTCAGTAAATGGGCGTCTGAGGAAAAGAAACATGCTGGTGAAAAAAGTGGTGTAATCCGTTCAGTATCTGATCTGTACATCTCTCTCAACTCCTTCAGGACAGGCAAACAACCAGTAATGTCAAGCCATGTTCTCTCTCCCGCTCCCTCTCTGTTTTATTTAGGTCATATTATATCTGTGCTGAGTGCAGGCTCCAGGCGAGCTTCTGTCGCTGTGCTTTCACAGCAAAGCTGACGAGAGAACAAGGAGGAGAAAAAGATGAAAACTCTCCTCCCTCTTCTCTCTGCCAGATTTCCGTCACCTCCAATTCACTTCATTTGCCCCTTTACTCCTATTAGTCTGCAGTCTGTCTGCCTTCCTTTCTCTCTCTCTCTTTCTCCCGGTCTCTCCCTCCAACAGGCCTTTTTACAAGTTTTTCCCTTTAATGTTTTGGCCTCTGCTCACGCCTTCTAGTGCCCTGCACCCTGGACTCGTCAGACCCTCTATACGCTTCTGTCTGTCCTTCTCTCTCCTCATCTCTGAAGGTTCAGATGTGTGGGAGGGGGAGTTGTGAGTTGTGTGTGGGGGCAGAGAGCAAGAGCTGGTGGTGGGAAAGAGGGGAAGAAAGGGAAAAAAAGAGAAAGTTGGAACAGAAAGGCAGAGAGAAAGAAAGAAAAAGAGAAAGAAAGAGAGAGGCTGGGAAAAGGACACACAGGGCAGGCTGAGTCATGTGAGGGGGCTTTGCATGAGTGGGATTGTCTGAGAAGGGTCCTGCTGCAGGATTGACTGGGACGGGGCAGCAGGGTATGGGGTCAAGCAGTATTCAGCCCAGCAGGGGCCCTCAAAACCCAGCCCTCTCACCTCACAGTCACTCTTTCACTCTCTCTCTCTCTGAACTTTAATAAGACCATTAGCACGAGCCCATTAGGACTTGAGCCGTTGCCAGATAGAGGCTGCTTACTAACTCCCCACAGGTCACTCACCTACTTCTCTCTCAGATTCACTCATTCATTGATCTGTCCATTCATCCATTCATTCATCAATGAGTGACAAAGACTTGTGATTA